TTGAAATGAATGAAGAGACAAAATCCACATTCAATGAATTTCCCCAACAGATATGCACTATCAAAAGCAGTCAAAGATAATGCAAGTACCTTTTGTCCCAAGCACCGCTATTCACGGCATTACGGTGTCATTACAAGCTCATACTATACCAGTTCTAATTCAAACTCCTAACACCTCAAAGCTGGCTTTTGTTACTTTTTGACACTACCAAGCCCATTTCTAAAAAGGAAAAGGGAGAAACAAAAGTAGAAATTTTGTAACAGAAGTGATACCTTATGTCAGCTTCATCTAGAAATTTTACATATTACAGAATAAGTGCCATAGCTTTGCAAAAAACACGCACATGATCCAGCATCTAACTCATAATCCGACAGTATGTAGGAGGTCGAAATCGCACTTTTTATCTTTTGCGCTCAAACAAAATCTCTCCTGCGCAGTGAATATTTTAAAATAAAATAGGCAGCGTAAATGTGGTTATGAAATTTCATAGTGTAAATGTGGTTATGAAATTTCATAGAAAAATGATAAGCTTAGCTGCAGCACTCTTGCATTATACATGCCTTCACAAGCACGGATACGAATGCCAGAAATTAGAGATTTCAGAACACTGTGTAGTGAGAAATGTGGTGCTATTATCTACATTAATGAGGAACGGGAATGGCAAGATATACTGGCACAATGTTCAACTTGTTTTAAAGACAAAGCTTTAGCTTTTTGTAAATACGATACTAACTTAGCATTGGAGTGGTAGAAAACGGATGCCCAAGATGGACACTGATACACACTTGATACGAATATCTCATCTTTCTTCAATTTGCAAAACCGTTCAGCATTTCGCATCACTCTTGCCGAAGCAGTTCGCTTATCTCTATTCCCCCACGTTTGTCTTCCCTGCATGACAGTAGCAGTTCCTTATGTTTTGTTCATACAAACAACAGGCAAAATAACAGATGTCATTGCATTTGAATGATAATTTGTCTACAGTCATCAAACAGAACTAGCGTCTAACGCACTGTTTCAGTAGAGAAGTGAACTTATCATGGCAGATGCAATATTAGCCACCACACTCGCCTACATTTTGAGAAAGGCGTCAGTCTGACGTTCCCGAATTCCTGCCACACATGAGATTACAGCACCACTTTTCCTCCGAGATAATTTTAAAACAGTCTTCACTGAAAATGAACTAAGTCACTATACAATGCACTTTATAGCCGACATTGTACAAACACAAGGTATTTTGATTAAACGTTCATACCACAGTGATCAAGTAGCAATAAAACAGAACAAGGCACTGAACATTAGTGACAACTCAACAGGCACCTTAAAATGAGTACGAAGCATCTCGAGATTCAATACTCCATTGTAAACATCACTCGAAACAAACGTAAACAATCATGACCGCACGGCAATGAGCAGACTGAAAACAAGCTTGGCAGTAAATGTTTGCAAGCAAAAAAAAAAAAAAAAAAATTAGATACAGCAAGTAAAATCAAGGGGAAGAAACTATCAGTTCACTTGTTCTCTACTGAGTCATTCAAACACCGATTCATGAACACTTATTTATACAGTATGTGTTTAGAAGCACCGGCATTTGGCCTCTGTGTGTTTGTGTGCCGAGAAAAAGGGCAACGTTAGGTGCATCTTCGAAGGAGACAGACTTAAAGCGCCTCGAGATTCATCGACAGTGTGGCTGCTATGTACAGGGAAGGCTCTATGTAACAGAAACTTTTTTTTCTTTTCAGCATAACCCTGAAGTCCTCCTACGATAAAAACAAAAAGTAAAAGACTTGCGCTCTGCTTTTCAAGCTCCTTATTGCTCTCATCTTCACATTCCACGTGGAAGAAGATAACAGAGAGCGCAAACTGTGCTTAGATTCTGCATTAAATGCAATATGGCATCACACATTGAGCGCTGGGAGGATCCTTAAGGGGAAACACTACATTCACTTCGTAGCAGCTCGCACTGCGCCAATTTGGGTCATACATGTCACAGCCACTGATTTTACCAATTAAGCAGTCGGTGTGCAAGCTCTCAAAAGGTCGCTCGCGTATACAACTTGAAAAATTCTGGAAGTCAGCTGCCCATGGAACTTAGCTGCGACAAACTCACTTTCGTGCTGCTCGAAAAAGTCGGCGATGGCCTTCCCATTATGAGGAGTGCAGATGTGGATCCTGTTTTAGGTTGGAGAGTGGCTGAGCGCAGCCAACTTTCAGATTTTTGGACATTGGTAATCGTCAAATGTGGCTACTCTGCTGTACCGTTTGAAAGCTTGAACTGCACAATGCACGCTTTTAAATAGGCAGGTACGCGAAGAAGCCATTTTGTGCAAGTTGCACGAGGCAGCTTAAAATGTGACCGTTCAGTACTGACGTGCGTGGTTTGCATTTTGTCATTATTTCAATGAGTGTCTTCGTTGCTCAGAGATGTTTTATATTTGGGACAATCCCTTAATTTTGCCAGAAATGGGAGGGGAAAGGGGAAGAAAAAAAGAAGTGTCATAGTCAACAGTGACAAAAGTTTCGCTATCTAATAAATACAAGTGGTACCATTCACTTGAGCAAAGCACCACCCTACAATACAGGCAGCTGGGCCCAGTAACGCTGACACTTGGGTGAATTGTGTCTACAACAGAACACTCCATATTAAACGCATTAAAAGACACCTGACGACAAAACTGAAAAGTACTGGTACAGGCACGTTCCTTATGGTTTTTGCAACCAAACAACTAGTATGAAAGCTGCAATGATTGAGTTGCCGCAAGGCTTCTCTTGCACAGTTTCGGGATATGAGCTTGCCATTTAAATAAGAGTAGAGCTTTTCATCACCAAGCGGAAAATGCCAGCCGTTAGTGTTCGAAGCATGTGCAATGACGAGCACACTTCAAGCAATAAAGCTTGAAGTGTGCCAGATATGCAGCCTAATTTCAAAATTTGTGACTGAATAGCCTTCAACACCTTGAATTATTTTAACTAGTATTTTCTTTATATGCTCTTATAACAGCTATACCTACTATGCTCTAAGGTGTGGTATTCTACTAATAATCTCCTTCTTATTGACAATAATTCTTGTGTGTTTTGCCAAGGGTTTATCGCAATATAAAACTGTGTTTTCTTCCTTTGAGCATAATTACCAGGTGTAGACAAAACAGTCTAATGACTCTTGTTTTTGTTCAGCACCTTAGCACAACCAATCGAGATAAAGCTCAGGGAAGCCACATCAAAACGACTCCGACAAAAAAAAATATTGATCTCCCCTCACAGCGTTGTTAATGCAGAACACAAAGTGCCTATGCACAGCTCTGGCACAGAGAAACACAATGTAATATAGGGGCATGTAACATAGCCGATTTGGTATCACAAGCGCGAGTGACCAAGCAATGTGACTAAAGACGTGACTTTAAAGACATGACTGCACGGAACATTTTAGGAGAGAACAGAAAACCATAGAATAGATGCTTGTGCTTGAAAAGAAGTGGACAGGATGAGAACTGCACCACTATTTTTCACCTGCTTCTCTCTTTATGCAAGGTGAGATGCACACAATGGTTATTTGCCCCATTCAATAAACTATCACAGCACTGGCTGTCAGAGCAAGGTGTTCCTTCAATAAGCTTCTTCCTCAAAAAAAAAAAAAAAAAAGACACCAGTGACGGACTGTACACCGGTCAACACCGCGAGTCGTTTCTGAGGGAAAAAGACTATACGGTCAGATGCACACAAGCCTGTACCTATGGGCACACACTCCAGATCGACGTCATGAGATGAGCCAAAAGGTCGGTGACACTGCCTCTAGAGAACATTGCCGAGCGCATGAGAGGGACTAATTCTTTAGTGGCGAAAGCGATTGGCAGCTGTGCTGCGGTTATCTGGACAGGGCCTCTCCAGATTTACTAGGTTGTATCTGATAAGATTGAACGAATATTCAAAATCTCGAATAATTTCCTAATATTGTTTACTATTCTATTTGATTTGCACTGGAATTTTCATATTCGAACTTGCAAAAGACAAATACAGTCAACATCTAATTGGCAGTAGCACCTTCAGATTTTCAATATGCTTCACCCAGTCAAACTCTCGTATGGCGGCAAAGTCGCCTTTCGGGCTCTGCTGTGGTCTCAAATGTATTGACTCGAGAAAACACTGGTTCCAACACAGAGACGACAGATGTGACAGAGGCGAGCGCTCAATTAATGCAGTTTTGAAGCTGAAATTCGGGCAGAATGTCAGAAAAATCAGATGCTGACGATTTTTAGCCGGACACAAAGAGCACACTCTCGCCCACTCACCATCAATCACTTCGTGGACATGCGTTGCTTTTTCAGCCATATTGCTTTCAATTCATCGAAAAATATTCGATTTGATTCGCACTCACACTTTGATATTTCGAACTCCCTTTGCACGCAGAATTTTGTTATTGACACAGCTCTGGCATTCGACCGTAGTTGGTGACAAGCTTAGCAAAAATGTAAGCTCCAGCCACAAACTACAATGCCCCTTCCCTTCACCTGTGAAAGATAGTAGGTTTCCGCTTGAACTGTAAGTACTATGAGGAAGAGCTTTTTCTCGGGTAATGTAAACACGCTCATTAGCGCTGGCAGTTGGGAGAGTTGGTGTTGGTTCATAATTATGAACGGTGCACAAAAACACACGGGACAAAAATAAGGAAAACCACACAGACACGGTCGCCCGTGCCTGTGTGGTTTTTTTCATCTGTGTCCCGTGTGTTTTTTTGCGCCATTCATAATCATGAATGGAAACACCACGCATCATATTAGCCCTTTCAGTCACGGCGTGTACAAATGGAGACGCTAACTTCAATGGCACGTCATGCACCGCGTTTTTCATAAAATGGTATGAAACTTGATGTGCACATTCGTACAGGCCTCCTGAGTGGACAACTGTCTATTATTTAACTTCATTATGCTGCGCACTGCTGCAGAAAATCACTTTACTGGATGTACTACCGTGTTCAACGATCGTTCGACGTGACCCATTCCAAGACCAACTTGAGGAGTATTTTTTTGTTCGCTCGAAATAAATACAACCAAAAAACAAACTGTGCATCTATTTCGGGCCTAATAGCGGATTATTTTTATGAAAATACTGCAGCTGACTGATGGCAGAATAATTCAATAATTGGTTGCACACTCATTAACTTTAAATACCAGAACTTGCACGGAACAACGCTTTCCTTCATTTTCTTACTTGGAATGTAATAATGAACACCTAAAATTATGCCAGGTGAATTTGACGCACTTCTGACAGCGCATCATAATTCGTGACTGGAGAGGCTATCCCTTTCAGTCACTCGCCATCACTACGTAAACGATTAGGCTTGGCCCTGTAGCGATGTCATAATTCCTGACACAATTTACTGGGATGTTCCAAGTTTCCGAAATAAAACCACCAACAAAAACGTGGATCTGTATGGGAACATCAACTGTCTTCTATGCTTAAAAAGTGCCTGAGGCCATAAAAATGAGGAAGCACTATTAGATGAAGCATTTATGCAAATTCATTGTAGAAGGTTTAGCCACAGCTGTGGAAGGAGGCGACAGTTTTCCTTGGTTGGGTTCGACTGTACGATGTTTCCAATGTACGCTGATACTGTGACAGTAACGAGTCTGGTCGGAAGACTGTCGTGAGTATCCAGCCTAAGCATCTGTGCATGTTTTCCTTTCATTTGCGAGAATGTACCAATGTAACTTGCCCAGAAATCTGCCGTTTTTGAAGGTTCTATTTGGTGATTTTGACAAGTTGAACAATACAATGGGGCAGCAAATGAGTGAATGAAACGTTCGAAGATTAAGAAGATGGCATAGCCGTGGGGAGAATGACAAAATGACCAACACGGGCACATATTTCAGTAACAATTTAAACTTGCAACAACTTGTAAAGCACATATTTCAGAGCAAAAAAGAAAAGACACTGCAATGGCATACTACATTGTCTTACAACGCAGTGAAGCTATGTTGTAGAACAGCGCAGTGTGTTGTCTTCTTGTTTTAGCATTCTCGCGCTATACGTATACTGTCGTGTATTTTCAACAAGCCCTTTGTCACACGTAGAATTGAGCTCGTCGACCCAGATCCAACAAGCTCTTGGATTTCAGCAATTTTAAGGTATCAGTGAAAAAAAAAAAAACAACTCTACACTATATTGCAAAGGAAAGTGCTTTGTTTACATTCTTGCCATTATTGAAACACCAGAAAGTGCTCCCCATACTTTCCAAAACAAAAATCAGTTAATTAGCCCTTGTGCTCGTCACTAAATGTTATACCTTATGGTTGTGCTGTTTTCCTATAATACAGTGCACCTACTTGCCCAGCTCGGTACTGCAACGTCACCGGAAGACACCGGAACATTTGTTCGTGGCTGCTGAGCCACCCATGCTAAAATTGACGCGTTTGTTGTGTGTGCCAAGGAAGCCAGACTGCAGAAAGACAAACAGAGGAGATGCAGGTGGGTTGCCTCAGAAGCTTTCAACAAAGCTGCCAGGGAACAGTCCAGTTTTTCCTGTCCTCTGCAGCGTGCCTTTGAACCAGCCGTCTTCCCGCTTTTTGTGCACATACACGACGTCTCCCTGCTTGAGCTCCAGCTCATACTCGCTGTTTGGAGGGTAAGGCACGATGCAGCGAAACCTGCACAAACAAGGTTGCAGGTTTCGATTGCTTTCAGGTTACAATTACATAGTGGACAAACACTGAATATCAATGCCTTCCTGTCATAGCCTACGCATGGAAATCGCAAAAGAGCAACAAAAAACACTGCTTCGTACGGTTGAAGTTAAGATCAATGGATAAGCTCAACTTGTCCAGGCAGAGCTTGTCAAAAGCTGCCCTGCCCTTGGCAAGAACAAAGAGAATCTAGGAAAGATCACACGTCCTGGTTGTTGCATATAACTCTATATAGGCAAAGACATCATTGGATCAGAAATGAACAAAGAAAATGTCACTAAAACAGCAGATAGCCAATATCATCCATCATGTAGTCAACAATAGCCAACATCAGCCAGTGCTAACTGGTGCTGGTAGTATGCAAGTACAGTAGGCCAGTATACCAGAGCTTGAAGTTTCTTCACCCATACTCGTTAATGTATAGCCTACCGATTAACCTATTATTTAATGGCACTGAAGTGCCCTGTCGTGCCCTTGATCAAATACATTTGCATTTAAAATTGCGCTAGCATGTTGCATTTCAAACTTTGCTATCCACAGGCTGCACTATAGTTTTATGATCAAGAAACATCCACTAAGTTGGGAGTACTGTAGAAATTCGCAAAGAGAAGAAAATTTCACAAAAGGTGTAAATATGGTCATCCATCCTAGAGTAGCATGAACCTATGGAATAATCTAATAGTGGTTCGTCTGAAGGAAAGTTTTGAATTTGTAAAAAAAAAAAAATTTTCTGATACAGGGATTAAAGCTGGGACCATCATTGTTTACTGGGTAGTCTTCCTATTATATTGTCATTTTGTAGTGATGGCAAAAAAAAGTGAAAAGGCACCTACCTGCCTGTTTAGTCTATTGAATGAAATTCACAAAACAAGTACGGCACTCAAGGTGCAACAGTTGTCCATTATCAAAAGATCATTTACAGATTAAGTTTCCTGAATAATTGTACATGGCTCACCATGTGATTCTAGTGCAATCGCTTCGGATGAAACCACTCGTGTAAAATAGCACCTCTTACCCTCTGCAATCAATTTCTTATCTCGCCACTTAATCAGCGCAGTCGAATGAGAGCGCTTGATCATAATTCAGCATTATACTTAAACATTGCACGCTACTTAAGCAATGAAGGATACCATTTTTTCTTCTTCTTTTCACAGGATAAATATTTTTTTCAAAAAATTTCCAACACACCTTTCCCTGACAAGAGGAGCAGGCTGCTTGGGCCTCGTCTTGAGGCTGTCGTTTCCATCTAGGGAGCTGGTCTTTTTGTGCAGAGCCTGTTGGCTTCCTAGAACCTCACTTGGACACGAGCCAGACCTGTGGGTAGGAACAGTGAACTCTCACAGCTCTCTTTCATGCAGTATAAGTGATTGTGGCGCGGCAGCTACAACTACCTGGGTAGTACTAGTTGCGGATCTCCACTTTTGCTTTTTAAAAAGCCTTCCCTACACACATGCTTTCAGATACAGTAAAACCCACATTTACCAAATTCATACACACACAGACACATAAAAAAAGGGAACTAGTTAAATATATATTAATTCAATATAAAGCTTTTATAGAATTTAGAGTATTTTCGGTAAAAATGCTGGCGGGCCCCACAGCACTGCTTCATGCTAATACAGTTAAACCCAGATATAACGAAATTGATAAATTCTGGAAATATTCGTTATAAAAAGGATTTCGTCATATGCAGGTTCGATACGAAAATTTAAGCGAAAATTAAACGGGGGACTGAAGGCAGAGCTAACCCAAAACACTTACTTTACAGGAAAAAATCTGCGTTACTTTTGCGATAGCAATTATATGGACACTCTCGGCGCGCTTTTGCCGTCGCCGCCATGTTCTGTAACAAGTCCCAATTGATAACATGCCCCCATGCATCGTAACTTTTACAAGCGGGTAAAAACATGCTAGCGTTGCTGAAGCAGAGATCAAATGAGTCAGCCCATCCTTATCGCTTGGAAAGTGCATAAGATAACATCTCCTGCGTGTTAGAACTGTCGTCAAATGCTCAAACAGAAAGTGAACCACCCAACTTGAACGAGCACGAAACAATGTGGAGGGGGGGGGGGGGGGATCGCTTGAGTAGCAATAATGAATTACTGGCGCGCTTGCTATCTCGGTGCGTATCAGTGCAGTTTCAACTCGAAGGGACTGTGTGAAAAGAGCACTTCTCCCTGGAGCGGTAGTATTTGCTCGCACAAGCATTTTGCAGGAGTTCCGCGATATCAGATCCAAAATATTTGGCTGCCAGCCTTACTTCTTATAACATTAGAACTTTTTTCTATTGCGTTCATTGCATTGCATTCAACGCGCCGTCGTGTTACCAGAACTAATCAGCTAATCGCAAAAGCTACCGGCCTGTGAACTCGCGGCACAAGATGAAAGAAAGTGACGAGTCGAGCGCCAAAGATCCGTCATCACCATGGTCTCTGAGAGTTTCCATCAGCACCTTGTCTGACATCCCCTCTGTGGTGACGATACAGTTGCCCAAAATTAAGGAAGGTCACAGTTTCGCCACAAGGGCGATGCAATAAATGCAAAAGGAATGACTTGGAATGTAACACTGAGAATGGCAAGCAGATCGAAACGTGCAGCGCGCTGCTCACGTAGAAATGACCCACGAAAACAACATACACAGGACGAGAGCGAACCAACAATGTTTACCGCTCAACACTTGACGCGTGTTTAAACAAAAACAAGGCACGAAACGTAATCACAAGTACAGATATCAGTGCAAACTAACGAGTGCCCCAGTTGTTTACTTTGCCAAGTTTGAAAAGCTCACTGTTTTTACAAACGGCGCTTGTCCAGCGATCTTTGTACGCCCGGCAACTACACGCTATTGTTCTGGTGAAAGTGGAAGGCGCACGATGCTCCCCATCGAAGGTTAAGTGCGCGCTTACAAGCTTGTACCCCCCTCCCACCCAATTTGCGGGGCAAAATACGCGAAGAAAATAAGGGCGCATCGGCGCCTCGTGACGAGCTGAGCTGTGCGCGCGTGTGGCTTTATTTTTTCTTTCTTGAGCTTGCATATACAGTCGAGCCCCCATAAAACGGCCCCACATAAAACGAACTTTTGCTTAAGACAAACAATATCCGTGTGACCGTGAAAATATACTTTGGTTCAATGGCACAAAATCGCACGTACAACGAACGTCTCCGAGCGCCGCTGATCGATTACAGCGAACGGAGTCAGCGGTCTACCGACCTCCCGGGAAACCGATTTCGACCATTGATCAGGCATCAGCGAGGTGCCCATACATTCTTATTGTTAAACGTTGACCCTGCCTCCGCGCCCCTCTAGTTGCCGCTCTCCCCGACCGCTTTTGTTACGCATCCCTCCGTCCTTTGTCCCCCCCGCTACTCTGAGCATTTCACATCGCCAGACGAGGCCCGTGTTTTCACACTGCCACCGATCTTTTGAAGACCGGTCGGCCATCTACCCCATTTATGATTGCTGGTACTGTCGACGTCGCCGGCCTGGAGCGAACAGACCATTTGCCAACATCGTCGGCCACCGACTGTATCCAATAGCCTGTGTCTATTGTACGCGCATACGCTACCGACCGACTCTCATAATTTGCGATTCGTTTCGGTTTAGGACTTGTTCTCGCTCACTTCGCACTCAACTCAGCATGCCTTCCGCGCGCGTGCGGGAACGCGGAAACGGCTGTTAATTTGCGCGGAACGAATCGCGAAATATCGAAGTTCGTGAGGCCACGCAAACCCCCCGGCGCAACACAACGATTTTTGACCACGGCCGCCGATTCTTCGAACACCGCCGCGCGCACCGATTCAGGCGGTCATGCACTCTTTCTAAGTTTTTCTATGTGCGAGTTTCATGGACCTTTCAAGCAAGCTACCCAACCTGCCTCCTTCCCGTGTGTTTTGGTTTTCAAGGTCGCCCTCCCGCCGCATCCTCCCCTCTCTTTATCGCAACTCCTTGCCCTTCTCTCACAAGTCTGCTCTCCTCTCTTGATCACAACCCCTTCGCCTGTCTCCACCGCTCCGCGACGCCCGCCACGCTGGCTCGAATTAGTTTCGTTTTCTGACTGGAAACGGGCCCAGAGCTGTTCCACGCGTTCTGGCATGTGTGTCCCGTGTGCGCGGCTCGCTCGCTCTTGGTGTGCGTGTATGGTCATGATGGCCGACGGGAGGACTAGCACGCTTTTTTCTGCCGCTCAACAAAACGTTGAAAGTGTAACTGCTTGGCTTGAGCGTAATCCGTGCGTTAGGTGCCGTACTGGGTGCCGCGTTGCTCATAGCTCATAGAGAGCGCTTGCTCATAGCTGTTGACCACCTGGCAGCTTCAGGCGTCCCGGTATGCTGCTGTGGAGATGGTGAATATTTCGTGGGCGGCGGTGATGGCTACATGCGCGCGAAACTGTTTTCGCGAGGCCGACTTCGTCCCCGTCGGGCCCGATGCCGAGCCTGAAGCTTCCAAACAGGACCACTGCGGCGGCGATTTGTGGCAGCGCGTGGTCGACTCCGACCTGGGAGGGCAGGTGGGACATCTATTGCGATGGTTTAATTACGGCCGATGATGATGCCGACACTGCGGAACCGTGCACGGATTAGGGCATTGTGAATGAAGTACGTGGCGAGAGCGATTTGGAGGAATCGGATTGCGAGAACGATGAAACTTTGGAGTCAGTGCCTCATGCAGCTTACGCCACAGGCCTCGGTGAAAGAGCGCCCTGCCGTTTTAAATGAACTCGAGACCGCCCTTATCGCTTCTGCTATTCGAAACACGTGCATCACGGACTTTTGCGGGCATAAAAAGTTTGTGTTTTCACGTGCAACTTTTTTTTTTTAAAGCTGTGTTTCATTTACTACGAACTTCGGGATACAGCAAACGGATGCTGTGTCACGCTCAGGTTCGTTATAAGCGGGCTCGACTGTATATAGATACGTATACATATGCAGTGAATGGCGGTGGCGACGGCAAAAGACCCGCCGAGAGTGTCCATATAATTACTATTGTAATAAAGAAAAGCAAAGCTGAACGTTGTCAGGATCCTCACCCTGCACGCGCAGTGAAGCTATGCACGCAAGCACAGCGTTGAAAACGAAAAGCGATCGACACAGGCACGGATACCGCGGAAAACCATTCGGTAAAGCGCCCTCCATATGCAGTGCGGCCGACGTATCTGATGCTAACTAAATGTGTGACATTGCCAACACGCAAAAGTAGTTTTTTTTGTTTGTTTGTTTGGAGTGCGGGCAGGGGGCACACCCGCAGGTGCACCAGCGGCGTCGAGAACAGCGGCAACGCCGGCTTGTGGGGTGAAGACCCGCCTGCCCGCCTCGTGCTCATTCGCGCACAATAACAAGCACTCATTCTCGCCTGGCGCGCCGTTGCCGCCGCTTCGCACTTCGTCAGCGGCGGGCAGAGCAGCCACGAAAAATGCATGCTCATACCAAAATGCAGAGCAAAATTCCTAGATTATCCATGGGGAAAATTTGTTACATCAAGGTTGTCTCCCGCTGTTACATTGTTACATAGAGGTAACTACAATAGACTCCTACAACAATACCTACAATAGAAATAAATACAATAGACTCCGTTTAAACGAAACCTGAAGGAACCAGAAAAATGTGTTTCCATTAAGAGGAGTTTCATTTACTGGAAGATAAGCAGGGGTACAATATTCAAGTACGAAACCATACATATTAGAGGCAGTTGTTTCATTAAAGCAGCAATTTCATTTAAGAAAGTTTCGTTTAATTGGAGTCTACTGTACATGTGCGTCTATAGAGCAACGGCGGGGAATAGAAAACTTCGTGATGTCAAGGAACTCGTTATATGGAGGTTCATTATAATCATTTTAACTGTAATACACCATAATGTTTTTCTCAGATATCATTTTATGTGGCCAGTAGATGAGAGTGCTGGTTACACACGAGAAAATATGGCATCTAAGAAAACAGCTCCCTCAACATCTTCATACGCACGTACCGTAATTACTCTAATCTAACGCGCACCTTTTTTCCGGTTAAGAGAGTTCATAAATCGTATGCGCATTATAATCGAGTACGAAAAAAAAATGAATACGGTCATTCTATTGCCATTGGCATTTAAACAATGGCCGCCCCTTATGTGCGTCGGCATGGCGCGTCGGCCATTTCTGCCAGTGTGCTTCCCATGTGCGGCACTTAGTACGTGTGCTGAGGAGTTCGTCATCTTGTAGTGCATTAACATCAATGGCATGAAAGGGCTGACTCCAAAAACTTGACGAGTGCACCACGATGCCGCTTTTAAAAGAAAAGTCATCGTGTGTGCAGAAACGGACGAAAATCGGGCCACATCGTAGTCCTTCGGAGTTCCCGAAACGCGCGTGCGGGACTGGCGGAAACAAAAGCAGAAGATTGTCAACAGCAAAGCTTCACGTAAAGGCTTCAGTGGACCACAGCAGAGTCAGTTTCCGCAAATTGAAGAGCTGCTCGCCCAGTATGTGCTTGAGCAGCGAGCGGCCCAGCGGCCCGTGACGACAGAACTGCTCCAAGTGCGGGCAATGCAGTTAGCCTTAAAAAAGGGCTAACGCGGAGCCAGTTCAAAGCGAGCAGGTGCTGGCTAACTAACTTTATGAAGAGGAAAGGCTTTTGCCTCCGAAGGCGAACGGGCATATGCCAAAGTTGCCGGAGAAGTACGAAAAAAAGCTTCACAGTTTTCAGAAGTTCATCCTAAACTTGCGGCACAACAGGGGCCACCTGCTTGAACAAAACGGGAATGTCGATCAGACGCCTCTTTACTTCGACATGCCTGGCACCACAACCGTTGAGAAGAAGGGGGCAAAGCAAGTTCGCGTGCTGAGATCGGTCCATGGTAAAACTACAGTGACGGCAATGCTCTGTTACACATCAGATGGGCCCGAGCTTCCCCCGTACCTGATATTTAAACCGAAGACGCTCCCGAAAGGAGTCGTTTTCCTGAGTAATGTGATTGTGCCGGCCAACGAGAAAAATGGGTGCACGTTACAATTGATGTCTTACTTTTTTTTTCCCCGTCGTGGAAACCGGGTGCGCATTACAATCAAGGGTGCTGTAGAATCGAGTAAATACGGTACTTGTCGGGCACCGGATGTCTAGTCTGCCTCAGATTTAATGTTGACACTGTTTTTCAATATCATACAGTTGTACCCCGTAACAACGAACGCCGCTTCAACGAAAAATTCACGGTTCCCCGTCAGCAGTCCATAGGAGTCAATGCATAAAGAATGTCGCCACAACGAACAATTTTTTTTTTGCCGTCCCGCTTCAAGGAAATTTCACGATGCAATTCCAGGGTCGGATATTTATTGCTATACAGGAAACCTAATCTTTAACATTTTGATGCATTTTCAGAACCTGAAAATACATCGACGAAGTCTAAAACGTGCGTTAGCATCACCAGAAACCGCAGCTGTTCAGCAATCATGGGCGCCACGCCACCATTGCTCAATAGCGATGACAATGAGACTGCCCTGCCAGGCCCTGCTTTCGCCACTGGCTTGCTTTCGAGCCGCAGACAATCCGAAGCTGAAGCTCAGTCGCTCAGTTCATGGTTTCCTTCACGCAGCTGCTACAGCTGCTGGGTGCAAACCGGAGCGATGCCTGTTCCGATTCCAATGCTTATCATCTTATTCGCGCTTGGCCAGTGTGATGCCTAATCAGAGCGGCTGTTCATCTGTATTATCTACCAAATCAGCTAGCCACGAGTGATGGATGATAAGAATGGCATAGAATAAGGCAAAAGTCACCGCTCCACGATATCCTGCCTCCATCTCGGCGCTCTCGGATACACTTCGAAGGCGGACAGCTGCTGGTGTTAACGTGTTAAGGCAGCTGTTTGGTACGTTCACGAAAGCGGTTGTAAGCATTGTTTCAGTGTGGTTTTCCCCATGGCCTCGCTATGCATGACTGTGAATCGTGTTGTGACGCCGTTGGGAAAGAATAGGAAGCAGCGGACACTTTTTGAATTATAAGAATAAACGTTCCTTTATTTTGCTAGCTCAGATCAGCTATATTTTTTCAATTTCACTACAACGAAATTCTCGCTTCAATGAAATATTTTACACGCCCCATGAGTTTCGTTGTAGCGGGGTTCGACTGTACTCAGTGTGCTTCTTGAGATGCTATAGTGGCGAAGTCACAGTCCCTCCCCTGCATTTGGCTGTCTTGATTATCGCATGCCTTGCAGACATTTAGCTTTACAGGAGTACTTGTGTATTTAAAGAACCCTAGGTGGCCGAGATTTCCGGAGCCCTCCGCTATGGCATCTCTGATAATCATATGGTGGTTTTGGGACGCTAAACCCGACATATCAATGAAGTACTTGCATTACCAAAAGGAGCGGAGAACCGAATAGAGAGCCTACTTTAAGGAAGCAACGTCAAGGAATCACTGAAGAGAGCACACGATGGCAAGTAGTAGTTTCTACTTAATCTGCTCAGCAGCTGCCTCGCTACCCTGCTCGCTCTCCAAAGTCCCCTTTCATTAGTAAAAGTGAACTTCTTGGGAAGAAAAGTCAACTTCTTGGAAAGAAAAGCCAATTTCTTCAGGCATTTCGTACCACCCGACTTCCACTGCAATATCAAAAGTTCCCGACTATTTTGATTTGATGTAGCCACCAATTTTCTAACGCACTGATGCTATAGCATTGTTGTACGCGAAAACAGTTCAATATAAAAGAACACTTGACTTACCCCAGTTTGATATAGCAGTTGGGTTCGGCCACTATATTTAACTTAAATAGACTTACACCTACAATAGAACATTTGCAGACACTACAGGGTGCAGTATGCTAGAAAGAGTCTTCACCTGATGTGCACAACAGGCACGGCGCTGGGTGGCTGCAGAGACGACTGGCCCGCCGCTGCCGAGCTGTCCACGAAACTTGGGTTGTCGCAGGAAAAATTGGGTGGAGGAGGTGAGCGTGATCTGCGCTTGGCTGTGAGTCGCTTCATCAGGCTTATTTTGTCCTTCTCCTTGCGCTCCTTTTGCTGGAAAGAGCACGCATAATCCACATTCAGCAGAAAGTCTCAGATCACGTCAGGGAAAATATACCAGCCAACTTCAGAAAAGTGTAACAACACAGCAGCAGTTCCATGTACTACCACAATGTGCCGATGAAAAAACACTCACCCACTAGTCTGCTAACTCTTTCTGAACTTCCTACGCTAGAAGTACGAGCAAAACAGGCATGTCTAAAATTTCTTTATCAACTCCTACACAATTATTTTAAAATAGACATTTCAAATTACGTGTCTTATTCACAAACACAAGCCACAAGACACAAACATACACACGCATTAGTACAATACAAATGCAACACTGATGTGTTTAAATTTTTTTTTTTTTTTTCAGTTGCTATTGGTGTATGGAACATGTTGACCCCTCACATCACTAGCACTGTCGCTGTCTCAGTTTGAGTTAGAAATTGAAAACTATTCTTAGCTTCATTACTTGTTTGTTCTGTAAACAGCCATGTAAGTGGCCTTATTGTTAAACTTGCCATTTTTGTATGCATTTGTATTTTGCTTCTTATGTTGTGTAAATATTGCTAATGTACAAAGTGCCAGGTTGATGTTGCTTTTATGTTCTGTATTACAGTTTTTTTTACTATGATGAGCAATCATAGCATCTGTACAGAGTGCCCACCTGCTATGGTCTCAGTAGAGACTGGCAGTATTGCAAATAAATAAATAAATAAATAAATAAATAAATAAATAAATAAATAAATAAATAAATAAATATACTTTGAATAAACCGACAACAGGGCACTGGTACAATTCCTTTGCAAGAAAAAGGGGTAGGTATACAAGAAGTTGCTGAATTTGTTCTCAAACAATGGTCGCCTTTATAAAAAAAAAAAGAGCACTGGCTGTGCAGGTCTACTCTGTTGGTGGGCTCAAGAAGCTTGAGGGTCTAGAGGGCACAAAAAAACTGAGAAGCAAAATGTTCCAGCCAGTTACAAGCAGCAAGAACTATTGGAGAGCGGAACACGACAGTGCCCTTTTCATCGGGCATTACATCTTGCTCCAAAGTTTCGGCAAAGTTTTCACTGAGGCGTTCTTTATCGTTTTATTTATTTATTTATTTTTTCAGGTTTAACTATGTAGCCCCCGATGACATAATCATTCACGGCCACACAGGAATGCTATGGTAACATTCTAGTGTAGTTGTGGCCCATTCCACCATCCCAAAACGTGTGCTACCATCACAGATGCACCAGAACACAAGTTTGATTAAGTCATTTTATGCATTTCCTTTTCTACCGCCCGCTGGTCACGAGACCCGTGCGACTATTACTACTACTTCTAGAACAACGACGACGACAGCACAGGATAAACTGAAACAGCTTTGCTGTTAAAATTTGAGGTCGACACTTCGTTAACGTGCTTTGAAAAAGGGCAAATGCTTCCAAGCCAGCTGCATAGCAGCAGCAAATGGGGCCCTGGATTGAGTGCTCCACGCAATGGTACTTCACGGGCAGTAAGAACAAAAGTAAAGTTCTCTACCACTACTCGTTGCATCTTACCTTTTCCGAACGCACCGCTGAAGCAGATGGAGCCAGGGTGCCAGCGGAGGAGGTTGCAGCAGACGAGCTAGCGCAGCTGTGCGGTGCATTGGGTGTGGCCACACCACCAGCCTGAGAGCCACCACTGCCAGCTATGCCAACGGACATTGTGGCGCTAATGGCCGGGTTGCGAGTCGGTGTGGCACAGGCAGGCACCCACGTAGAAGTGCCGCTACCGGGCCCGTAAGACGAGGTCGCGGAGGGTGGCCATGCAAGCAACCAGTGGCCAGTGCTGCCGGACGAAGCCTGTGAGGAGGCAGGACTTCCTGTGGTGACGGCCACTGCCTTGGCCACGCCCAGCTGCTGAACTTGCAGGGCCACAGGTCCGTGGCTCACCTATGGCAGGGAAGGAAAAGCCAGTCCATCAGCAATGTGGCTACTGCCGGTAGCATTTATCTAAAGCCCTTAACGTTCGAAAATCAATGCCTTTGAATTACAAGCTATGCTTATAGTATGCTAATGTGCTTCAGTTTTTTAGCACACTTTGCATGGTGTTGTATAGATTGATTTCTTTAAAGCAATCATACGTACAGTTGCAAGAAAAAAAATTCCATCTGTATAGGGTAGCCAACTAATCCTTCAAACATCGAGGCAAATAGAAAACATTCAGAATAAAATAACAGTCCGAAAGTATTTTTTTATTCCATAAATATTATTGATATGTGGAGTTTAACGTCCCAAAACCACCATATGATTATGAGACACGCCGTAGTGGAGGACTCCGGAATTTTTGACCACCTGGGGTTCTTTAACGTGCACTTAAATCTGAGCACACGGGCCAATAGGACCAATAATGTGGCGGGCACACCATTGCTTAATGTTGTGTCTGCTTGCACCTGCACGAACGCTATGGTTTCATAATAAATGCTTAACAATGACAATGCATTAACGACATTCTGCACTGTCAGTTGTGGCCAGCAAAACATGTCATCGAAGTCAGAGTCCAAGTCACTTGCTTGAAAAACAATTTCTCTAGGGGAGGGGGGGGGGAGGCACTTCAGTTTATGATCACTTGGGTGTGTCAACGTGTATATAAAACTTAAACATGCAAGCATTTCTTCATTGTACCTCCATCTTTATATGGCTGTGGCAATTACTAATCAATACTCTAACTACAAACTCAGTAGATGCAACAGCTACCGATTCCCAGCTGCAGATAAAACTAGAATCTTGCTGATGCAACCCCCGACACTCAGGTGCTGAACCAGACCTGAAACAAAAGCCCTACTGTCAGCAACAACTATGCTGCTGCTGCCCTTGCCTACTTCATAAACTCGCTCGAAGCAGGCCGGTTTGTGGGATTCAATGTTTGTGGTCTGTGGATTTAATTTAACTCAGGCTGTCAGATATGATGTAGTGGTGGGTTCTGGACAATTATGATCACCTGAGGTTCTTTGCCGTGCACTGCCACTGCACATTACACGGCCCTCTAGCTTTTTGCCCCCACTGAAATGCGACTGCATTGGCAGGTATCAAATCCGTCTTTCAGGTAATAAAAAAATCCGAGCACCATAGCCAGTGGCAGCCTCAAAGCAGCTAGTGTCCCAAATTTTTTTTTTATTGCAATAATATCGCTTTTGGTTTCCTTTCCCTGTAGTTGTGCACCACTAAATTTTTAACAACCGTAAAACACTTTAGCAAACAGAATCTCAAGAAGCTTTGTGCGACATTCATGCAGCATTTGTGAAGTTGTAAAACAAAGTTGAATGTGTGAAAGCACACAAAAATTATAGGAAACACAGTTCACAAAAGATACACAAACTTGCAAAGCAATAGTACTGTGTGGACCACACTTAATAATGGGATCTTGTAGTGTATGTGCACCTGTAGACAAGTTAAAAAGTGCCACCATATCCACGATGTGAATGATGATGAGTGGGCGAAGCTCCGGAGGTAAACCTGTTAAACCATGAATTCTCCGTAGATATTGCCCACTCGATTTTATTACAACGCTCCCCCTAGCGTACGTTGCCGCACAAAATCGAATGATTGCCTTCCACCAATGACACGCACCGTATGTCACATCATTCCTATTTTATAACATCTCACATATTTCATCACCAACTACAAGTACCGCCGTCTAGTTTATAACATCTTGCATCTTTTCATCATCAGCTACAAGTACCGCCATCTATTGAACAGTGCAAGAACTAAAGAAGAGATGGCTACATACAGAGGACGGTACTGCCATCTAGTGAACACTGCAAGAACTAAACGAGAGGTGGCTACATACAGGGGACGCACAGCCCACGCCTTAAGGAGCTTCGCCCCTAAAAACACCCAAGAACACTAGTTCGTTTACTGTTATGTATGTTTGTTTACTGTTAGTATGTTTTGTATCCGCTATGCACTGCACGTGCATTCGACTATGGATTGTTAGGTTTGGCCTGGAGATTCGTCTCTCAATCCCTTCGGCGCCCAGTCTGACAGACGCTGTCGAAGATTTGAGCAATTATCCAGACCAAGCAGCAAGCAAAGGCGAGTTCCCGTCCTTCAAATGCGGACCCTTTTGTCGTCCCTTCAAGCAGAAGCGGTGACTAATGGACTCGGCGACTCATCGGGCAACAGAGAAGCTGGCGTGACCGGCGACAGTACTGACGGCGGAGCGGCGCTTCTTTAATCCTCAGTCAAGTAGCCAACCGGCCGACTGCCTATGCCCGCCAGGCATTGTCCCTGCTGGCCGGAGGACGAGACGTAGTGTCGCCAAGACGCCGCGACGCCACAGAGAGGACAACAGGGACGGCGTCTTCCCGGGGGAGACCGCGGCGGCTGCCGCGGATCGCCCCGCTAATTGAGCGCACAAAATCGGCGGACCCTTTGAAGTATGTGGCCAGGATCGTGGGCACTCTCGACTAAAGGCACACACACGACGAGGAAGAGCCCTGCTGGCGCCACCACAGTGCAGTGTTCACGTGGACCTTGCATGCTCGCCCCCCCTCACCTGTGTGTGTGTGATTGGTGTTCGACTCGGAGAGGAGGAGCCCGACAGGGCATAAAACGACGCCAGAGAGTGCTGGACGTCGCTCTGAACTATGTAACGTTCAACCACCACGCTCGTGGTTTGTGAAACCACAAACTTTTCCTTTCTGTAAATATGTGTAAATAATGTCATAAACCCCTGTTTTGTTTTCGTATCCTCCAGCGTCCTTCCTTCCGCAACCTTAACAACTGGTGGCAGCGGTGGGATGCCATCACCTGCAACTTCCTTCGACTCCAACCCTTACAGTCTACGGGGAGCATAGCGTCTAGCGGTGTTGTGACGCGACGGCCATAAACAAGCTCGAATGGTGTTAGGTCTGTGGTCTCTTGCGCAGCGGTGGGATGCCATCAGCGACCTACTTCCTTCCTTTCCAAACCTCTACAACTGGTGGCAGCGGTGGGATGCCATCAGCAACGTCCTTCCATCCGACCCTTAACAACTGGTTGGCAGCGGTGAGATGGACTTCACGACATGGTGCTGTGCTGTGGTGAGTGCTTGGTCTTTGCTATAACTTTCCAGGCTTCATTTCTTGAGTGTGCGTTGATTAGAAGCTGGATTGTGTGTGAGTTAGGGAGATCCCTATTTGTGAGTTAGAGGGATCCCCTACATTTGTGTGAGATGCAGGACCAAAGTATAACGGCAATCATGGAGGTGAAGACACTGCTAAAAGATGGTTTTTTGTACATTTGTGAAGACCTTGGTATTAAGATTAAGGAAGGAATGGGCAGGTCAGGAATTTTAGAGCTAATTTTGGAAAGCGCCAGTGAGGTGGATATTGGATATGCATTAAAAGCTTTAAAAAGGTAGGAGGAATGAGAACGAAAAAAGAAAGAGAAAAAAAGGAAAGGAGGGATAGAAACGAAAGAGAGGAACACGAAAGAGAGGCATGGGAAAGGGATACAAAAGAGCGTGATCGAGCACGCGCCTTGGTGCTCGAACAATTGGAACAGAATATTGAAGCAATGAGGCGAAAGATTCAGCCAATCGAAACTGTAGCGCACAAGAAGTGCGATAATCAAATGAGTGAGGTGCAGTTTCGAGCCAAAGAGAAGGCTAGCACGTGTGAAAATAGCAGCAGTTTCAAAGCCGAATCGAGTTTGAGAGCCGCGAAAGGTACTGCTCTGAGTAGAGAGGCCGACGAAGGCCAGAGCGTGTGCGACGAGGTGCTGTGCCAGTTAGATGCTAGCGAAACAGCTAGGATATCTGTAGACAGGCTAATACAGGCCTCAACTGAGGTTGTCGCGACAGTGGAACTTGCAAACAATGTGGTAGTAGGCAAGGAAACCGGAGAAAGCTCAGGAGCAGCAGCCAAAGCAGAGGGTGAGAATCACAGTACAGTCGCCGACAGCTCCCACCTATTCGAGGAAGATTGTGTGAAGAAAAACTGCAGCACTGTTCTTGAGTGTGTTGAGCTTTCCACCAGTCTAGAGTGCGAGAGAGATGATTTTTTAGAAAATCATTTAGACTGCGTAGATTCAACAGCTGACGCAAGGTGCAGTGAGAGTGTTAGCGACCTTGAGCTGCGAGCGGTAGGCTCAGAGACGAGTCACAAGAAACGGCACAGACGCAAGAGATGTCGGAAAGCCGCGAGAGAGAAAAAAGGTACTAAGCGGGTAAAAGAAGACGCAAAACCTTTTAGCGTAACTAGTAGGACTAGGAGCTTTGCATCGGCGTTAAAGCCGTTTTGCATGCGTCCGAGCGGCCGGACGAAAAGTAGAAAGAAGGCGGGAATGCAAAAAGGAGGAAGCAAGCATCGAGGAGACAGAAAAGAGAGTAGATTACCGGCCAGTTCAACAACAAGGTCTTTGTGTCATGCAGTAAGGCACAGGCGGCAAAACCCTAGGCCGTGGCGCAAGTCCTCGCGATGGAATGCGCGGTGGAGATCAAGAGCTTTGCGTGGGTGAGAGTGTTGAACATGTGCTAAAAGAGGGGCCACAATAGTTAAGCACCCCGCGGGAGCCAGCCCAAAGAGGGCATGGCCACTCTTTCCCACGCATTGCTGGGGTCCCCTCCGCCAGACTGACAAGGGCAGGCTGAAATCGCGAATGAGGCGTGACAGCGGAGTTCAGCTTGTAGGACGTGCACGTTGTGGTGCCGGGCGTTCTGAAATTACGCCAAGACCGCGACCGCCGCGTGTACGACTGAAGAGGGAGCGACAGCTGTAGGCTGGAGAGTCGGACACAGGAGTTTTTTTGGAAACATATTTTGTTTATATTTGGTTTTAAAGTGGTGTTCCTGTGTCATCTCCACAGCTAGTTTGCTTGGATATTTTTTTTCTTCCCCCTAGATTTTGTTTGTGTGTAAGCTTTGTCAAAATTTTGAGTTAAGTTCTTAAGCGGTATGCGGAAGCAATTACCCGCCTCGGTCAACCGACTGCGTGAAAGGAGTTTTTAAGATAAGAGCACGCATGTCGCAAATGAAGTTTTGGTACGCCCGCTAAATTTGAAGGAGTGGTGGCTATAGGTTATAGCGATATGACCTATGATTAGGTGTGTGTTGGTATGCTAGCGTTCTTTGGATGATAGTATGATGTCGTGCTAGAGCGCACAGCAAAGTCATGTGCGTTCTTTAAAAACATGGGCTGACATGAAACTACATCCAGCAAATGAGCGTCTTAGCACACAAAGTTTATTTCGTTTTGTTGTTTTTGTGATTACTTAGGGATCATATATGATCACTTGAGCTGAAAGCACTGCGTTCACCAAATTTTGAGACTAGATACATTTCTAGGATTTATAAGGCGCAGTTTGATTTGATGTGAGAGAGTTTTGTTGGCGTCAGGGTGTCATAAACGTAGGTACTCTCGACTACGCCTTGCAAGTATGTAATTAGAGAATGAAGAATGCGCACAATTACCTTTTGTAGGTTCAGGCTGCATTTGTATGGAATTTAAGTAGTTGTCTTTCATGAAATTAGTCATGAAGTTAAATGTGAGTTTCAACTTAGTAGTGCGGATGGTGGTAGAAAGCCAGTATTGTAAAAATGGGACTACGGTTATATTGGGCCAAATTGTATTTGCCTTTGTGTGATTTTCTCACATGGCAACTTGTTCCATTTTTGGTAAGCATCTCCACATCCATGATTGTTGTAACTTTGGCGGCACCAAATTGTCTCAAAATTTTAGCGTACAGGTTTTCCTTTTTGTGTTGAGAAGCCTGGAGAGTTTGAAGCGGGTCCAATGTGCTTGACTGCAGCATGGTATTGTGTTGTGTGGTTCGCCTTGCTGTTGTCAACCATTGTGAGCTGGTTTGGAAGTTGGTTTCGAGTTCGCAGCTGGAGAGAGAAAAGCCAGGCCATCGTCCTCGTCACCAACCATTCTCTTCGTGCCCAGCGGTTGGGAGCGCTGGCCAGCCGAGATTTTCCGGGCGGCGGAGGAGCTGTTAGGTTTGGCCTGGAGATTCGTCTCTCAATCCCTTCGGCGCCCAGTCTGACAGACGCTGTCGAAGATTTGAGCAATTATCCAGACCAAGCAGCAAGCAAAGGCGAGTTCCCGTCCTTCAAATGCGGACCCTTTTGTCGTCCCTTCAAGCAGCAGCGTGCCTGATGACCTCGGTGATTCATTTAGGCAATGGGGTTGCTGTTGTGACCGGAGTCAGAGCTGACAGGAGAGCGGCGCTCCTTTTTAATCCCCAATCACCAAGCCGACTGGCCGGCTGCCTGTGCTCGTCAGGCATTGTACGTGCTAGCCGGAGAACGAGACGTCGTGTCGCCAAGACGCCGTTAACCGTTCGAGAGAGGCAACAAAGACAGCAATTTCCTGCAAGAGATCGCGGCGGCCACCGCAAACCACCCCGCTAATGAAGCGAACAAATCGGCGGACCCTTTGAAGTATGCTGCCAGGATCGTGGGAACTCTAGACTAGCGGCACACACACGACGAGGAAGAGCCCTGCTGGCGCCACCACAGTGCAGTGTTCACGTGGACCGTGCATGCTCACCCCCCTCAACTGTGTGTGTGTGATTGGTGTTCCACTCGGAGAGGAGGAGCCCAACAGGGCTTAAAATGACGCCGCAGAGTGCTGGACGTCGCTCTGAACTATGCAACGTTCAACCACCACGCTCGTGGTTTGTGAAACCACTAACCTTTCTTTTCTGTAAATATGTGTAAATAGTGCCATAAACCTTGTTTTGTTTTCGGTATCCTCCTGCATTCCTCCTTCCTTCGTCCTCTAACAACTGGTGGCAGCGGTGGGATGCCATCACCTGCAACTTCTTCCTTCCCCAACCTGTACAAGTGGTGGCAGCGGTGGGATGCCATCAGCGACCTACTTCTTTCCTTTCCAAACCTCTACAGGATACAATGAATTTGGGGAAGATCACACGAAATTTCTGTGTATAGGTAATTTCATATATAAAGTATTTCATGTATCAAAAACATAACCAAGGGTACATTACAATTGTTTGGAATATGCAATAATTCATTATATGTGGGTTTTATATGCGCAACTTCGACTCTCATCATTTTTTTTTTTTACTTTACACGTCTGGAGTAGAATGCAAGGTAGCAAACCGGATACTACAACTTTTGTTGATTTCCCTTTCTTTTTCGCAATTTTCTTTGCCTGGCAAACCTCAAAGGTACACTTCAATTCAGCAATGTTGAAATCTGGTTGATCAAATTCCTTTAAAGTGAACTATATTGAAACCTTGATTATACGACGGTTTTGTGACGTCTCTCTGAAATTCATACAATCAGGATTTCATTGTATTAGGGAAAACATCCCACCGGTGGCTTATGTCCCAATGGACTTGGGGTCGTCGTAAGTGGAGTCCTTTGTGGGGGAGCCACCAGGGCCCACTCGGCAAGCAGAGGGCTGGAGCCCTGTCCACCGAGAAAGGGAGGCGGTCCACCGGGAACCATGGGCACCTGTTGCGGTGCGCATAACCGTGGGCGAGGTGAGCTGGGGGCAGGGATTCGTGTGCCCATCTGCTGCTGCTGTTGTGGCTGCTGCTGCGGTGGTACGGGCAGCAGAGCTGACGAAAAGCCACCGCTCGACGACCTACAAAGAGCACAGAGTGGGGCTACGGTGACAGCATTCCACGTGCATGTCGCAGAGGTGACACTATTTTCTACTCACATGTACACCAGCAAACAAAAGTATACAGGCCATGTATACGGACGCTGTAGTTACACAACTAGTGCCGCAAGAATTAGCAACACTCTGCTGGACACTTACTTGGTTGGCTGAACGTAGTTTCCAGGAAAAACTCCCGAAAGGCCAGTGCGCAGCGAGGTGCCCTTGAACCAGCCATCCTGGCACTTCTCTGTCACTGAATAAAGCTCGTTCTTGCGCAGTTCCAATTCGTCCTCCTTTTGCGGTTTGTAGCTGTAGAGGGCCACGTAACTGTAAGAAAAATATAAGGCGGACAAAAGAAGCATAAGAAGCCTGCTAAACTGAAGAAAAAAAAAGTGTGGGACAGGTGTGTTGCGTGAACACCCGATTGCAAGCTCTTGCCCAAAAGAAAAAAAGATAACAAAGAGAGCGAATGCAAGTCATGTAGACAGGCACAAATCGACATTTCATTATAAAATATTTGTCATGTATAGGCATGTGTGGACAGTCAATTTTAAGTTCGATGTGTACAGTGGTTTGGTCGAATAATTTCAAATTCAATTCGAATAGTATATAGCACATCTTATAAAAGAACACGAGAGTATCTGCTATGACCCAACTAACTTGCACAATACTTCTTTAAAAATGAAGCAAGGCATGTGAACATGTCATTCTTCTTGGTTCAATGGAAGTGGACGCAACCTTGAATAGTAGGGTAGGACTTTCGGTAGAATGTAAGTGATGAGCTGTAATATATGTCAAGTTCTAAATTTTACTACATTTAGAGCACATAAGCCGGTATAACAAGCTTTTAAAACTAAAAATGATGAATCAATGCGAGGGTAATATGTATGTTCATATAACCCTGAAGTAAGGCTTCGTGGCAGCACCACAGCACTGCAGTGAAACCATCTTTGCAGGCGAATCACTTGCCAAGGGACACTAAGGAACAAAACAATTTTTGTATAATAGTAAAGTACAATTTCACAACCCCAAATATACCACTCTTAGCGCAACATGATGCTTAGTAAGCGAGAAAATGTGGGTAAAAACACCACAGTGAGATTTCCGCACAAAACACCAAGACGTACTGGGTCCTGCATAGCTTCCACTCGATAAAAAAAAAAGTACATTGTTCCCTGTGAGTACCATAGACCTAGCATATGAGTACCATAGACCTAACAATATTTCATTGGGCCAATGTCGCAGAAATATGAAAAATACATACTGTAACTTGTTACATGACGCACAAAGATTTTGATGCAAAATTTAAAAATGAAACTTCAACCTTGATTTTCTCCGTTAGTAATGAACTTATGACAGTGAAACTTACGGCATTAGATTTTTCAAAGTGCAGTTTATCAATATAAACCAAGTAAATGTTTCTCTTTAGTGTCTCTTAAATACGTACACTTATTTGTTCACTTAGTATACTTTGAAATTACCAGCAATTTAAATTCAAATCAAAGCGAATTCTAATACGGTAGTACAGTGCAGTCCACTTATAACGATACCACATATAACGATATATCGGTTATAACGATGGGTCGACTTAACAGTCTCATTTTATGCATTGGGGCTATGGGGAAAAAAACCATATATAACGATATGTTATCCACCGCATATCGGATACAACGATGAAAAGTTTGCCGTGGACGGCATGTTTCATTCAGAATAATCGTAACATTTAGATTGATAAGTTCCTCTGAAACGAACTATGCCGAGACAAGACGAAAAGTTAGCGTAGGCGAGTACGTAGTATCTGCCGCCACTCCAGCACAGCGCCGGCAGCGCGTCCCGGCCGTTCAAAAAGCCGAGGAGAGCATCGCGAGTTGGCACGACACGCTACAGATGGCGCCAGCTGTGTCACGTTTTGCGCCTCGCCGCGCGTCGACCGCGGAGAGGCTGAGAGAATTTTAAAAAAAATGCGAAAAGCAAAGCGCCGCGCTCTGCGGCTCCCTGCCTTCTACAACGGCAAGCCGGCAAGCTACTCGTAGCTTGCCGAACGAAAGCGGGAAAGAGAGAGAAAATAAAAAAAGCGAAAAGCAAAGCGGCGCGGCGGCATGGGGGCGGGGCCTCGTTGGCAGTGGCGTAACTAGATAGGACGGCGCCCAGGGCAAATATATTTCCGCGCCCCTCATTATGCCCGTGATAATGTTTGTTATTATTATTATTATTATTAATAATAATAATAATATTATTATTAATAATAATTATTACTACAGCTCCTATTAATAATAATATTATTATTATTAATAATAATAATATTATTATTAATAATAATTATTACTACAGCCCCCCCCCCCATTAAAAGCGCTAATGTAGGCTTCCGCGATTGCCTACTGGCGCGCGGCGGGCCATTTCGGAGGCCAAGGGCCACCAGTTCTGATTTCGATGAGCTACGCCCGCGTTTTTGTATAGTATTTTTCTTTTTTTATTCAAACTTCCGGAAGTCCCTTACCCGTCATTGTTCTCTTCCAGTCCACACTGCAAAAATCTTGACGGCACGGGCGCTTCCCAGGCCCAAGTTTCTCGTACCTAAGCTTTCGCGCTATTTGTGCATCCCAAGGAATGCAGGGTGAGTACAAAACAAAGCAACCAGCTAGACACCGCGCCCTCGGGTCTGGTATGGGGGTTAAACTGGTCGGAGTGTTCTGCCGTTTCGCTCCGTTCGCTGTTCCATTGATGGAGGTCATCCTTGTGCGGCCGCATTCTTTCAGGGAAGTTCTTGGTTTCTCCAACGTACGAAGCGGGGCAGTCGGCACATGCTGTCGGGTACACTACGCTCTGCGCTTTTTTCGCAGGTGCGTGTTCTTTGGGCCAAAGGATGAACCTGCCCATGGCGGTGGATGGCATGTGGGAAACGTTGACCCCCGCCCTTCTATTGCTTTGCTGGCGCCCGCGATGCAGGGAATCAACAAACGTCGCCGTCGTGTCACGCTTTCTCCGTCTTTCCTCCAGAGAACTCTGCGAATAAACGCCTTTGTTTAGCCTTTGGTGCCGAGGTCACGGATTATATTCGCCCTTCCTTCCGCCGCTGCGTGGACGATTAGTCGTTGGACGATCGGCTATTTCGTTGGAGTTTTCTGTTCTTACTCAAAAAAGGTGCATTCGAACTTTTTTATTTTATTTTGTTTACGTACGTGGTTGGTTTCAGGGAAGCTTTCAGTAAGTGGTTTGGGAGGCTGGTGGGGTTCGCTGAAACTCATCTAACCCAGTGCTGCGGAGCACAAAACAAAGCTTAGCCGAGGGTCATGGGAAGGCACGGAGGTAGCGCAGCAAAATGAAAATAGAGGATCCTTTTCCCGATGCAAAAGCCATTGCGGCAACCCTTTCCTTCACCACCATCCCCACTTCCAGTCGTACATTACAACCTCGCCCCTCCCCCCTTCCAGGCGGTTTTACGGAAAAAAACATTGACAACCTTTCCAGGGGGCGCCAACCCGAGGACTCGGCTTGGCGCCCCCTCCCTAGTGGCGCCCGGGGCACTTGTACCCCCTTGCCCCCCCCTAGTTACGCCACTGCTCGTTGGCATTCCGGCTGTGTACCTCTGGCTGTGCTCTCTTCCTCCCACTGCTCCCACCCCGCCGTCGGTCAGTCTCTCTTCCTCAGCGAACCCGTGATGCGTTCTTCGGAGTAAGAAATAAAGTCTTGTTTTTGACATCCTACTATCTACAATATTTATTAATTGGTGAAAATAGCAAAATGAAGCCTGGAGCTACAAAAGGTACGTCCGGCGACGATTTTTTGGCGGCAGTCCAGATATAACGATCACCGGTTATAACGATCATATTTTTAGGTTTTCTCGCTATCGTTATAAGTGGACTGCACTGTATTCGTTTGCATATTTCAAGCCCTAGAATATTTGCACAAGCCTAGCAATGAAGGATTCTTTTTCTGCTACTGAACATCACGAATACTTTGATAATTTTTTTTAAAGTAACAGAGTCGGTTGGATTATACCGCAATATCCTGTGTTCCAACGCTCTAGTGTAGTTTTAGAGCTAATTAAGATATCTAAATACTATGAGACCAAGACGACGTGCTGCATGACAGCAGAAAGGGCACATTCCAATCCAGTCACACAAGGCTAAAGCGGCCAACAACATACATAATGACAAATGATAATGATGACACGATGGTTTGTATATACAAATGCAGATGATAAACTGCATAGTCAGTGCTCTCAATACTGTAATAAACACACTATTAGCACACTGATACTATGAAGAAAATATTCAACTGTAATTAATTGTATTTGTGCTTGCTTTATTGAGCTTTGACTGCACTATCGCAGGGCTTCCCGTGTTTTTAAACACGGAGACCAGACCAAGAACTAGCGGTCACAGTGTGCATGCAATTACAAAAGCAGGGCCATCTCATTTTTTGCTGTTCTACCTCAGAGACACACTATGCTCATCTTGGCCAGTGTCCACACAGTGATGCATGAGGACACCCATAACGAAGTGAAGCAAGCTGGTACTAGTAAGAACAACAGCAACACTAGTATCTTTTAAGCCGGAGCTCCGGGGAAAAGTCTCAGGAGAAGGTTGTGTTGTTAGGTGACCCACAATTACACTTTTAGGAGATGGGAGAATGTGGAGCTTACCTTTATCTTGGAACTTTTTTTAAAACTGAAACCAGTAAGAAGCCAAATCTGCTGACATTACCTGGAATTCAGCCAACTAGTCCCATTTTGAACTTCACCAAATGATTTATGCAGTATTTCTCATTCTACACCTATTACAGCATTTCTCATATGCCTGATGAAAAGTAACTACAGTACTGAACTAAAAGTCATGCACACGAGTTTCTTTGAGGATACAGAGTGCACAAATATGCATTTCACACTGAGGCAGAAACATTAAGGTAACCAGCAGACCAACTGACAAAACAAATGAACCAATGCAAAAAAAAAAAATCATGCCAAATAGGAAAGTCCTCAATCTTACAATGATGCAATGGTGGCATGTTGTACAGGCTGCAATGGCTGCTGCTGCTGAGTCAAAGGTGCTAGCAGTGTTGCTGGCTGCTCCGGTGGCGGCAAGGGTAATCCTGGTGAATTTAGGGAAGATGCATCTCGTTCTTTGCGCCCACTATGTCGACGCACCACCCGCGCAGACGACGGCTCACCTGATGAGCCTTGGGATGTCGCTGGGGCCGGCTGCGTCAGATAAATCCAGGAAGCACTCCGGTCAAACAAAGAGAATTAAGTAACAGGCACCACAACGCGTCCCATTCCTCTTCCTCGTCATATTTTCTGATAATACCACACAGTTCACTAGACAGAATTGGCTGTAGGCTAAGTGCTGGCTTGATGAGGCTTACAGTGGCTGCAGAGCATAATACAAATATTTAGGACAAAGTAATGCATATACTTTTATTTCCAGCATATACAGTTCGCGTCATGTTGGCATAATTTTGACTCGAACACTTACATCAAAACCAACAATACCTTAAGCAACCAAATTTGCAGCAATATGATGCAGTTAGAAATGGCTCACATCTGTCATTCTACTAAAAAAAATGATGCTGCACTTGAATCCATGAGTAAAATACATACGAACGGTCATTTTTGTACGTGACATCGCATAACCCAACGTCACATGTGACGCATGCAAAACGAAATAGGAGTACAATAATTATAAGCATCAATCTTCTCCCCCCCTCCCCATTGTAGCACTCCCTGCCATCCTACGTTTATACAGCTTTTCCATGTACAACATCTCTGCCAAGGCCTACGAGTGGAAAGACCGAAGAATTCCATGCAATCGACCTCACCTTTGACGATGCCGTGGGAATCCTGCTCGGGGAGACTGCCTGCCCTTGGGGTGGTGAGCTGGGCTGCGACGTGACCTCTGTGCCCGTGTTCAGCACCTCCATGGAATGCCGATGGGGAGCCTGTGGCTGAAGGTGTGAAGACAAATGGAATAAGTTGTTGACTCATTTAAAGGTGCCCAACAACGTTTCTTCTAACATGCGCAAGGTGAGTAGCAAGCTGTACAGAGGACATAAGGGAGAGGTCTATCGTTTTGCAGCAATAACATTTGCCTAATGTGCAGGTACTAGAAGACAGGAAAAACTTGCAATGAGCAAGGAGGATATGGAGAACCAAGTGGTTTACATTTTTTTTCCAATTTAACCATCAGATGAAGCCAACATGTTAACAAACGAGGAACTGACAGTTTTAACTTAGACATATAGGCTGCAATAAAAAAAAAAGGAGACAAAAGTGGTTGAAAAGATTACTACTTGAAGTTCGCATGAACCAAACATGTATCTAGTAAACTGCACATGCATTGCCTTATTAGCTGAACTAAAACAGCAGCTATTACTTGCAGCCTGAAGCTTAGCAATTCAGAACCATAGTCATAAATTCAAAATGTCGAAATACAGTTGTCAGCAAGCTTATAATGGCAAGGGAGCTGCTCTAACACTCCACAATACGCCCTGAAATGGTTTGACTGATGCCAGCGTTACATAGCTTCTGTTGCCGAGATGCTACCACTGCGCACTGACATGCTATCTGAGTGTACCGGGGTATTATCCCAGCAACAGCACCCAGCACTTCGCAGCTGGCATAGTCAAAGGAATTCAGGCCCCACTGCAGAGCATCGAGTTCAGCATGCCGACGACTCCACTTGTGACGACCTAAGAAGACGTCCAGGTTGACTAAAATTTTCCTGACATTTCAGACAAGCGCAATATGTAGCTACATTACCAGCAATGTCACATCCAGACAAAAAAAAAAAGGAAAACAGAAAATGGCAAAGCAACCTCGCTGTCTTACACATCAGTTGCACACTTACATGTCACAGACTGCAGTCATGCCTGCAATCTTTCCGTACAACTGAAACCAAAGTGTTCAGAAGAGAAAAATCGTGAACTGTGCTTAAGATCTCACACTCTTTCGCAGAACCACGAAGGAGAGATAACACTGTCTACTAACATTGCTTCCATTGCTTGAGGCTGGCGGGTTGAGGGCAGAGAGTGAGTGGCGCTTTTCTCGGGGCTGGCAGGCAGGCAGTGGAGGCGATGTGGATGGTGGTGTGCCAGGGCTCGGGGACGATGATGCGGGAGATGTCGTGCTTGACTGAGATTCCCCAGCTGCATTGTGCAAAATATGATGCAACACCATGAAGACAAAAGTACAAGAATGCTTACGCTCAGTTCCAACCTAAGCAAAAAAAAACGTCAGCTCACTCCACTGCCATGGCTGTTTATCTCACAGAGAATTCGTGCAAGTATTCCAGCCTATAGTGCTTACTCATTTTCATGACACCGAGCACTAGAGTGTTTCAGATAGTGGACTTTACCATACCAACACACATTTGTGTTGCTGGTCTTCGGCCAGAAACTTAAGCGTTCTAGTAAATTTCATCGGGGATGCTGACCTTGCTGTTCAGCCAAGCATTATGCTTCAAGTATAATAATGACAAGCCTTTAACACTTCATATGCTCAGTATTTACATTAGCCAAGAAAAAGTACTGATGATTCGGGTGAAAACAAGCTAGCACAGCCGTGTTTCAAAGGTGCAGGGCAGGTGCCCTGCGATTTTGCCGGAAGAAACTTACATTTTTTTTCTTAGTTTGTCACTAAGTATAGAATCTTGGAATAGAAGCCATTTCGAAAATCAGAAAATTGGGCATTCCATACACAACTTGCATAAATGGCTGCGTACAACAATAATGATTTTATCCTAAGAGTAAACTATGACAATCATTAATGACCTAAAACAAAGTGTTTTTTTTTTTCGTACTGTTCAGTCATAAGTGCTTCTGCTGCTGGTCCGGCTGTGTGCTAAACATGGTTTCAAAGTACATATGAGGTCATACATGAGTGCAAGCTGTCTACCATACATTGCTGCAACGCAGTTGTGAAAAATTTAATTTCCCATGTTTCAGAGTAAAAATTAAATAAAAATAATAATAGAAGACTTGTTTTATGAAGAGTTTATGTTCTTCAGCTTCTCCAACACAATTCGCAGACATGGTCAGCAAAGACAGCTGCTACAATCTACAAGAGAAATGAACTGGATGACTCTTGAGCTTTACCCCGAGAGAAAAACGCGACAGCATAATTCGACGCAATTTGCATTGCCTTTTCAATTGGTAGCCTCAATTCTCTTCTTAGTGGACAACTCAACCATGTCACAAAAAAAGGAATGTCTGTGAGGGTAACACTGGCTATTCATAACTATCCTACAAGGCCTACTGCGAGTACAGTTGGGAAGAGCCCATTACATTATAGAGTATTTCTTCCTTTTGAGAATCGGCAAAGTACCCACCATGTGGCGGTGAGACAATTACGTGAACCTATGCAGCTGCTCACTTTGTTCATGTTTTTGCTGCTACTAATTAACTACATTTGAGTGCCTTGTCATAGGTGGGCCTTCAGCACCTTCACTCGTGCAATTCAGAGCCTAGGCATTTAGTACGATTCTACACTTCTGCCAACAATGCTACATACGTTGTGAAAAACTCGTCGCATTACATGACATTCGTATAGAGCTCTCTTCTTTTTGGAAGCAGTTTCACGCAATGGCGCAGCTCTCTGTTAGAGCACCTGCTTGCCATGCAGAAAGCCTGGGTTCGATTGCCACTTCGTAAGAGACATTCACCGCACAGCAATTTTTGTCCCTTACATGATGTCTCTTATAAGCAGGGTACCATATACCGTATTTACTTGCGTAATCCTCGCACTCCCATAATTCTCGCACCCCCAACATCGGCCAGCAAGAATACGATTTCTTTTGTTCCCCGAGCAATTATCGCGCCCCCGAAAACTGCCGCAATAATGTCGTCTGCTCGTTCCAGCCACTGATGATGATAGCGCGCGTCATCTGGAGCCATCTCTTAAGCATCAAGCGTAATATTACTGCACGGAGATTCAATTCAATCCAAGCCAAGCCAAAGTGGCAAGTGCGCGTTGCAGCATGTTTTGTATGTTGTATCGGTAATCTTGTCACGTTATTGGGCGATACTAAAGCTACACGGCTGCTTTCAAGTTGAAAGTGATAGATCATGCACTAAACAACGGCAACAAGGCCGCCGTTAGGCCCTTCGGAGTCTACAAGTTTTGTCTTTCCTACTGGTGACGGCAGCTGAAAGCCACCAAGACGCGTTGGGCCTGCCGTGTGCCTAAAACTGGGATTGATTGTAAACTTTATTTTTCCAGAGAGAAACTGCGGTCGATTCCGCTAAATAGCCATCAGCCCAATACTGACGTCCTACGCTTACATTTTGAGGGCTCCTGTTGCACAACAAATGCTACCGCTACGCCCGCAACACCCACAAGCTTTCGGCATGGTATTCTGATTCTCGACTATTTGCTTGCACTTTTTGTGTCTCAAATTAATCTTGCCTTGTGTTGAACCAGTGCTTTTAATGTTGAGGTAAGTTTTAATTAGTACTTCTCAAAGCTTGCCGTTAGTTGCTGGTGTGAGAATGCCGATTTGCGGCCACCTCATTTTCTTTTTTAATCTGTACATTTTCGTGGAAAGTTTTCCCCGCGTAATTCTCGCACCCCCTAAATTTACATTGGTTTTCCGCCAAAAAAAGTTCGAGGATTATGCGAGTAAATACCGTATGCATAATCTTATCAACACTTATTTAAATGTAGGCACTCTGGTGTCTCTTACACGCATCTGTCTCTTACATCGGTGTGCCTTATCAAAGGATCTGACTGTATTTGTCTCTATCTTGAACTTTCGCTCACAATCAACGATGCCAACACCGGAATTCCGCGAAACGAGCTTTCTTTAACGCTCTTGCATTAATGTAGAAGTCCAGTTTCTAACTTTCTAAATGATCAGAAAAGAACTTGCCTGACGGAGTGCTGCCAGCTGGAATGACTGTTTGGCTTGGTGCTTCGGAATTGGGTGTTGGAGGGGCAACTCTCGAAGGGCCCACTTGAACACTGCAGGGGTAGCATTTTAATACAGAAAATGTATTAGTGTGCCTGACCTTGAAGCAGCATACGAGTAAAATCGTGACTTACTTGTTAGAAAGTTTCATAAGTGCCTTTCCAGCGGCATTCATCTGCAAATGTGTACAAGGAAACATCAGCAATCATCGTAACATTCAAACACATATTCACAGTCTCCTACCGATAAACCAAGCATGTGACAAAGCCAATAGCTACATTAAATCTTCATTAACTGGGCTTCTTTTGTTGTGTATAGTTCTCGCCTTATACCTAAGCTCTTGGCTGATAGCGGCCAACCTCGGATATACAAAGTTTGACCAGTAGCAATACTAATAAACATCTAACCTTATTGAAGACCCTGAGCGTAAGTGGCAATAAATGCAGACCAAAAAGTAGGGCAGAAAACAGAGTCCTAATACGCTACTTCTTACAAAACATTATTCGTGTTACTCTAAAATATCCTCATAAGTTACTTCCTTAGTGACACTGACGGAGGCACCGAGAAAGCCTATAAGTACAAAACACGGCACTAATACTCGCTGTAACTCACCTCAACAAATGATATTGGGAAGATACCAATTCGGTCGCCCAGTTTTCCTTCAGCCCAATTTTCGTCCACCCTCCGAATTACCGTAATCACATCACCCTGAAAGGCATTTCAAAAGTGTTAGGTTATGGCAACTACTCGTTTCAAAGCCACGAAGGCAATCGTGCCAAATAACATTGGGTTAATAGCATGCTATAGAAAAAGGAAGATTCACCTAACCGGACAGAATAGCAATTACACCACTCGGTATACCAGAACAATTTACTAACTAGTACAATATATATCGTAGCACTGCCACTCCTCTTTTGAAGAGGCCTCACATCAGCAGGAGGCAGTGCATGAAAATGTGTGAAATTTAAAGGACAGCCACACATTACTAGCATTGTTGATACACACAATTCTAAAAATGATGTTTGTTTTTATAGGTGCAAAATATTTCCTGCAAAACATTTTGATTACACTCAAACCACGATATCACGAACATGGATATAATGAAATACTGGTTATAGCAGAGTAAATGAAAAATAGTCTTGTAACACATACAGCATTAGGAACAAACTTTTATAACAAATTTCTGGATATAACAAACCTATTTTTGTGTAAGATGCAACTTTGTTATAACGAGGTTTAAGTGTACTGTAGTAATCACAACTGCCTTACTAGTAGACATATTATGTAACCAGCCCTGTTGGCACTAACACTCTTGAACATACCGTATTTACTCGCGTAATCCTCGCACTCGCATCATTCTCGCATCCCCCACATCGCCCAACAAAAATACAATTTCTTTTTTTCCTCGAGTAAATATCGCATTCCCGAAAACTGCTGCAATAATGTCGTCTGCTCTTTCCAGCCACTGATGATGATAGCGCACGCCATTTGGCGCTATCTCTTAAGCATCAAGCGTACTATTGCACAGAGATTCAATCCAATCGAAGCCAACCCGAAGTGGCCAGGGCGCGTTGTAGGGTGTTTTGTATGTTGCGTCGGTAACCTTGTCACGTTACGAGGCGATACTGAAGCTGTACCGCTGCTTTCAAGTTGCAAGTGATAGATCATGCACCAAACAACGGCGTAGGCCCTTCGGAGTCTACGCGTTTTGTGTTCGCTACTGGTGACGGCAGCTGAAAGCCACCAAGACGCGTTGGGCCTGCCGTGTGCCTAAAACTGGGATTGATGGTAAACTTTATTTATTCAGAAGGAAACTGTGGACAATTCTGTTACATAGCCATGAGCTCAATACTGACGTCCCACGCTTACCTTTTGAGGGCTTCTGTTGAGCGACGAACGCTACCGCTACGCCCGCAATGTCCCCAAGTTTTGCATATGGTATTCTAATTCTTGACTATTTGCTTCCACTTTTTGTGTATCAAATAAATCTTGTCTTGAGTTGAACCTCTGCTTTTATTGTTGAGGTAAGTTTTAATTCGTACTTCTTAAACCTTGCTGTTAGTTAGTGGTGTGAGAATCCTGATTTGCGGCCACTTCGTTTACTTTTTCGCTCTGTACGTTTTCGTAGAAAGTTTCCCCCGCGTAATTCTCGCACCTCCCAACTTTTCATCGGTTTTCCGCCAAGAAAAGTGCGAGGATTATGCGAGTAAATACGGTACTCCTGTTTGTTCTAGTTAATGGTGAATAGCTTCTGCCGTATATCTATGATTCATATGAGAACTACGATTGCTGCACCAGAAAGGATTATCCTGCACAAGCACGGGGGCAAAATGCACATGATGGGCGGGCACTAGCAAGAAAAGAAAAGGGGAGGCACACCTTGAGAAATGTCAGACAATCCTTCTCATCATTGTCGCCCATGCGGAAGTCGTAGAGAGCCTTGCACTGAGGGATATGAGAAGGTAGGGGCACCACCACTTGGACGTAGCTGGCTGGCACAAAGCCCTGCTTGCCACCCAGCTCTCCGTGGAACCAGTTCTGATCTACTCGCTTGCGCAGGACTATGATGTCCCCCTTTCGGAATGCCAAATCCCTGCAAGAGCACAGTTCTCACATAAATTTTTACACGTTATGACAGACATGCATGGCGCAATAGTCAAGCTAAGTATGAAAAAAAAAAAAACTAGAGAAAGTGAAAGCATTGCAGAGAAGCAATGCCCAATTATCCTGAAGGCTGAAGTGGTGGTGCTCTTTGCTAAGCGCGTGAGTTGATATTTTAGGAATGGAACGAAAAAACACCCATCTACAATGCTTGTCTATTTGTTAAAACAACTGTACAAGGTCAAAATTCAATACACAGACCTCCACCGCTAAATCTCTCTTAGCCCAACATGCACCTTGAAGGGTGAACTTGTTGGTTAAGATGGGTGAAACCCTGCGATACAAGCACCTTGAGAACAATAAACCCCATGATTTAACATTTCCTTCCTTATCAGATGTTTCATCAGAGGAACGGCTCATGTTCAGAGAAATTATATTACGAGAAAAATTCTCTTCAGAGAAAAATGGTCATCCTCGTGAATGGCACGCATTCTCTTTGTTGTCCTCTTTGTCTTCTGCTTAGCTCACAGAACACGTATACCTATTTGTCTTGCGTGAGGTATAATGATAACTCTGATGGGCAGAAGAACGGGAGAAGAGCAAAAGAAAAAGAGAGAGAAATAAAATAAATAGAGATGTCAAGAGATATACCGACAGAGAGAAAATGAGATAGAAACAAACACACACCAAAAATAGAAAAAAAAAACAGAAAGAGAGAGGAATAAAGAATGAGAAAAATTGAAACTAGCCCCACACTTTCTTCAGATTTGGCACCAATATTGCGAAGCTGCCTTAAAATTTTTCTCCACTAGTTTACAAATTACGGTTACGTACACCCACTCTATGCCTCTTTTCTAGAGTGTCCGAATAGGCACTCACCCCGGGTCTTTGGCATCATAGGAGTAGAGAGCTTTGGCACAGGGCATCTGTGGCACCAGTTGCTTGACAAGAGTGCGCACCCCATCACCACGACCCGAGGTGGTGTCCCCCCGTGGCCCAGCTGACGAAGGCTGGCTGGCTAGGAGGGGCCTCGCATGGCCGATGAGGGAGGAACTGCCCAAAAGGGCACCTGATGGGGACCGGCTGCCACCACTGCTGCTGCCACCGACACCACGTCGCGGATTGTTTTTGATGCCTTCCAATAGACGTACCAGAAGAATATTGAGCGGGAGCTCGTCGACCGAGCATTCCACCTGCGATGAAAGATAATATATGATACAGCTAAACCTCTCTGTAAAACACACACACCAGGGAGCAGTTCTTGTCCCTTATATGAGGCATAGAGCAGCGTAATATGTTGTCATTTTCTGATCAACTCTATTTCAACATAGGCACACTGCTGTCTTTTATACCCAACTGTATCTTACATCAGTGTTTCTTATCAAAAGGGTTAAACTGTAATTGATGGGGTTTTACATACCAAAAAGCATAGTATGATCACAAGAAACACCATTAAGAAGGGCTCCTAAAATTTTGAGCATTTGGTGTTCTTCAACGTAAAACTAAAGCACACAGGCTCCCTTTTGTCTGTCATTGATGTGCAGCCGCAACGGCCCCGAAACAACAAATGTACCGATGACGCCAAAATTTTAAACTCAAGATACTTGCACTGCCGAATCCTCCTGCCTATGTCGGTAACTCTGACAGAGTATCTGCGGCTATCATTGCCTTTGAACATATATTAGTCTGCCAATTCAACTACCAACTGCAGGCTTTGAGAAGATTCAAGCATATAATTCTGAATTATGTGTTCTGGTGGATGATAAAGACAGTGCTGAAAAGTTCAAAACACACAAAACAGGGACAATGGAGACATTCTCCGAGTTTTGAACTTTGCAGCGCTGCCTTTATTTATTTATTTTTTACACTCGTACCCACAGCACCATTTAGGCATTACAGTGGGGGGGGGGGGGGTTACACAGTATCATCCAGTACGTTCAAACTAGCCCCTACAAACGCTCTCCTGAATGTGTTCTAGAACTCTTCCAAAAGATGTCCCACGGTACTCCTATTCCTGTGGCAGCCCTACGACCACAAACAGCAAAGCTGCCAAACCAATTAATATACAATGCTTCTATGATGCCTCTACTTAAGATAACCTTAATCGCATAGAGATGCATGAAAAAAAAGTTTATATGCACATAAAAAACAGCACACCTGGCTGACATGCACAACAATTACTTAAAACTAAATTTCCATATGTATCAAACATTATAATGTTCAAATTAATTGCACTTTTTCTTCTGCGAGTATGCATTCTATAAATAAATAGGCATTCCAGAAGGGAGAACGTAGATGGAATGTTACATGGATAACTGGGTGTATTTGTTTAGTATGCTCCGACGTGAAAGGCACAAATATGACAACAGGCAAAAAATAAATGCACAGTGTATGCATCTCGCTTTTGTCTGTTGCAACATTCATGCCATTTCATGTTAAAACAGGCTGGAAGGCATGCTAATGTAGACACCATTTCCTAATCTCACCGTCCTTTTACTCAATGGTGGGTAAACTGTTCTACAAACTTCACAGTCTTACCGACTCCACGTTTTCCACTTAGTAGAACAAAGCTGACATGTTACCATCATTCTCCTCAATCAATATGAATGAAACATGGACTGTTAAGCAGCAAAGCGAGTATGAATTTGAACACCTTGTAGCGTGCTTATACTGGAGCACAAGTAAAACCTGAGGACGTTGAAAAATACACAGTGTAGTATCCTTAACCATCATACTGTTTTGTTTTCGCGTGTTTCAGTTCAAACGTTTTGCTGTTCTGACACACACTTGCGAGACTCAAGCTGTAGCTACACGAAGCACTAAGCTAAACTAAAACATCAACAAACTAAAAAGGCAAGTAGTGTCAACAGAAAGAAGTCTCGTGGAATTTTGCAGCTTGTGAGATAAGCTGTGACATGGACTCACCAGTATCCGACATTCTGGACAGCGCAGCTCCTTGTGGGAGTGAACGATCTCGTCCAGGCAGCGTCTGCAGAACGTGTGCTGGCAGGGAAGTACCTTGCTTGTGCTGTCCAGCTGCTCAAGACAGACAGAACACTCGAGCAGGTCTGTCAGGAACGCTTCATCCATAATGCTGCTTCACCACACCTAGACTGCTGCATGTCCAAAAAAAAAAAAACACCGGATAATTACTAAAACTAGCTGTGTCCTTGCATTCATGAAGCGTAAACCTTCAGTACTTTCAGTAGTTACAAAAAAAAAAACAGTAAAGCGTGTGTCGAATTACTATAAGCACCTCGTAAGCGCTCGTAACAGAGGAGCGCACATTCTAACGTCAGGTAGTCATGGGATGAACGGTTATAAACACAACCTTGTGAGCCCGTTATCCTAATTTGCAGAGGCCATAACAATCACTTTACTGCCATGTCATATGTGACAGCTTCCGGATCACAAGCGACGAGCGGAACCCGCATTTGCATAATTGGTCGCATTCTTTAGGAACTGTGTGCTGCCTCACAGCCGTTGCACGTCGCCGCAATCCGATACGGGTGAGAACAAAAGTAGGAACCGCATTTATAACCTTACACGGGGCTCAGTTACCACACTAATGTAATCAACACCTTGAACTACAAACAAAACTTCCAGTAGCAAATTACAGGTAGGCCTATCTGGAGCCTCAGGTGCGATCAATAAACGCAACAAAAAGAATGTAGTCCACTTTCGTATCGATGGCAGCGTTGTCCCACACGAATTAATCACCCGCGATTCCGGAACAGATACATTAGTGGCAGTATAGAGGTTGAGAAGCTCCCACTCACCTTTAAACATGATTGTGATCTTAGACCGCAGAGCTATCTCCATCATTTTTTTTTTTTTCACATACTGCGATCAATGCAGCAACGAACACTCGACGATATGTAGAGTCCACATCACTAATGAATCAGCGATCACAGCTCACAAGTTGATCTCACAGTGGCCTGTACTCTTCCACGGAAAAATGTAAACGCTAGTCAGGTAGGCACGCAGGAACTACCCCGACCATCCGGAGGCCTCTGCCCACATTTTGGACTTGACGAGACCTCACACACTCGCACCACGACCTCGCACACAGTACCACAATGACACAAGTTCCAAACGTCGCGATGGCTAATCCTCACTAAAACCAGGAAATAGATGAAAAGTGCGCGAAAGCATCATCCACCGCAGTGAACTGTTTTAGATTCCCGTATTACCGCAGTTTTCAGACAAGTGAATGAGAAATGCATAAGCGGATGTGATGTTAGGAGCGCGGGGGTGGCGAGCGTAGACCATTTCCGGTTTATCATGGCGAAGAAGTCGTGATGGGTGTCCGTTAACTGAACTCATTGAGCTTCTCTTTTCGTGTATACGTTTTATTAAACTTATTTGGGCCCATATTATCGCATGTCGCTGGAAACGGACAGACCATGTAACGATACTCAGCCGGTGCTGCGCTTCAACCGTGCTGCCAGCTCGTAAGCTTTGGACATTTTTATTTCTCTGAAGTATGGTCCGTGTATCGGGGTCTCAGTCCCAGGTGTTTGGGAAAAGACGGCGTCATTAGTAACGAGCGCACATCATTGAACCTTGCAGTCTTTTACGGTAGGCACTAGGACTCGTGCAAAATACGTCGCGAATGTTTGTTCATTCATATACTCCGAGTCGTGCACTTTCTGTCAGCACTCAAACGGTTGGCTATGCACTTTCTCGATGCGCAGGTGTGAACATATCTCGACGTTTAGGGGAACTGGGCTGTCGCTTAGATTTACTGCTGTTAAAAGTTCGAGGGAAGCCGTTCCACACGTTCCGAACCACGTAACGCGCGTTTTCGCTTCTAGCCGAGACAACACGATACTGAAGGCTCGGAATGCGCTTATTTATTTTTGCTTTCGACAACAGCTACGTGAAGCGCCGTCATGAGCTGGTTGCGAGCGAGCCTGCGTCGAAGCAGGCCACCCATTCTACGCAATGTGGAACCCGAGACTGTCATCGAGGCATTCAGGATGCACTGGCTTCGAGCCCTGGAAGTCATCGAGAAGTCATCGAGGTAGGTCATCGTGACATCACTTTCTGGAGCTCCGTGGAACAAGATTTTGCATTTTTTTTTTAACAATTGCAAAGTGTCTCCTACTTGTCTGTTACTTGCACGTTCTGCTGAACTTAAAAACTTCGTTATCTAGTAACCCATCACGTTGCACTTGAAAGCTCTTTAGTGAAGACATTTCGCGCGTCGTTACGACCGCTCATAACCCGCTCTAAAGTAACGTTGGCCTTGTTTCGGAGTGGGCGAAATTTGCATATTTGGCATCGTTAACGCACAATTCGCCAAATTCAAACATGGGGAAATGTTTCGTGTTCCCAAAACACGGATCAGCAGAACCGTTGTGTTGTCGCACCTTGTTATAACCTTGGTTTAAACATTGTGTCACGTGCGCCGCGTTTTTTTTTTTTTAATTTCGCTGCAACTTATGCTTTCGCACAATTAATTTATTTAGGCAAAGGAATCCGTACATCTGCCCATATGCCGAAATTCGAACCTCGACCAGATACCGCGAGTGTTGTAAATGCTGAAATGGTCTCAGAGACATCAAATTTCTTGTTTACAGGCATGAAAAGTCCTTGACGTTTTGACAAGTAGCCTTATCTTCAACACAGCAATCAAAGCAAATGTAGTGGCCTTCAAGAAAAGACCACTTGTCAAAATGCTGGCTTCAGCAACACCCTCTGTTCAAAGAGTTTTCACCTCTTCAGGCCCCAGTCTTTCCCCTAACTTGTCTGCCTTGTTAGTTTAAAAATAAAATTTCATTTCTCAGGAGTGTTAGACAGATTGCAAAGGCAATGCAGAGATACAGCTTTAGATGAAACAGCTATAGTGATAGTAATCATTCATCAAAGTGGCAAGCAGTGAAACATTCTGAGGCACTTGCAACAACCTCTAGTCACATCTGCTGCTTTGAATTGAAAGCAAGGTACATGGTTAATTGATTTGAAACCATGACTCGAGCATCTCAACTTTATTGTTTGGTTATCTCACCAATTTTGGCATGCCCCATTGTCTATTTCATTGATTTGTTGTACAGACTGTTTCTGTTGCCACTAAGACATCTAAGACACAAATGTGGCAAATTGAAATATAAAGTGTGTTTTCATGACCCGAGCATAATATTTAAATTGTGTATTCTAGTTGCGTCACGTAAGCAATTAAGAACCAATATGCCTTATGACGTCTGCAAGGCAAGGTCTTTAAATAATCATTGAAGGGGTTATAGCTGTTTCAGTGAGTGAAAATTAGGCAACAAACATTCGACTAGCCCAGATAGGTTTCTGGGATGCAGAAGAGCAAGATACTTAAGGTAATGAATGCTGAAACATCATTCCCAGCACTGCAGTCGTTGGTGAATACCTTCAGTGTGATCTAGCCCACACCACATATGCACTTTACACAAGTGTGCATACATATGTACATAATGTGTACCCAGCACATTGTGTTCTGCCCTTATGTGTAAGAGAGAACATGTATGTTTAGGTAGGTCACATGCATTTGAGGATAATGCGAATCGGTATTACGTGTGCATTTTTTATGGGAGGAGGAGGTAAAAAAGAGTGATCAAAATTGCTGAAATAGACCTAAAAGATTGAAATTCCAGCTTTGTAACAAAAGCAGCTGTCCCTCTTCTGTCTGCTTACTGTATTTGCATTAGGACATTTGAAGGGACACCAAAGAGCAAATAAATTTTTCGCGTATTAGTAAAGTACAATTTCGCAATCCTGAAAACACCACTCTTAGTGCGACACGACACTTGGTAAGTGAGAAAGCATGCGAAAAGAAGCTGTGGGTGTAGATGCCACCTTGAGATTTTCGCACCAAGCACTGTGACGTCATCAATTTTTGAAGGCGCCTTTTGGGTCTTACGTAGCTTCTAATCGATAAAACTGAAGTGCATTGTAATTTGTGGGTGCCATGGACTTGGCTTACGAAGTCTCAGAAAATTTGATCAATCCAATGTCACGAAAATACGAAAAATTACATTTTGAAATTTCTTGTATTACGCACGGACATTATGGCACGAAAATTCAAAAACGAAACTTCAACCTTCACTTTTTACACTAATAACAAATTTATAACAGTGAAACTCACGACATTAGAGTTCTCAGAGTACAGTTTATCTATATAAAACAACTCATGATTTCCCTTTAGTGTCTCTTTAAAGACTACCATTAAAGGTCGACAAAATACTAGTGGTTGTTCACTACTTAAAGTAGTAATTTTACCCTAGACTTGTACACTAGATTTGTCTGGCCTTCAGTGCTTGTTACATCAGTGCATTATGTAAGTTCATATTTATTTACTGATTTTTATAACTATGTGCAAAAGAAATTCTGATGGCAGTAGCTTAAGTTAGGCTTCTAATAGCTTATGGAATTCACAGTTTTCATGTACAAATACCCCATATTTCCTCAATCTGAAATGGAGGATTGCGCGAAAAACACAGCACACGAGAAACAAAGACAAGAACACTTAGCACAGGTGTCGTCGCCTTTGTCTTTCATGTGCTCTTTTTTTTTGTGCAATCCTTTGTTTCTCAAAGCAAGCATCAACTAGTCCCCAAATGTCTGCTACTATATTTCCTTAAGTTAGCTGACTAATCTGTAAATACAATTCTGTAGTATTTTGCAAATGCTGTGTTCAACAAGAAAATGGAAGCTAACCTTGACTATTCCTACAATTATATTTTGGCTGTGGATATTCTTAAGGTAATGCCTACCTGCATTAAAAAACAATTAATCATGTGACAGTGGACCAGAGATAAGCACGCTAAGACAAGCTTTTCTCTGCATCTTTGCAGTGGCAGCCACGCCATGCCTACAGCGGATGACATCACTGGCGTGCTCAACCATTTGGACCAGATGGTCAACTTTCTAATCGATGAGGCCACAAGTGCGGAAGCATCTATACCCAATGGAGGAATGTCCCCGTCATCTGTGGGGCCCATACTGGACTACATGCTCATGGAAGGGGTCCTGGATCGGCTTTTTCAGTGGTCTCTATACACGGGGGAGTTCCTGTCGAACCTCAAGTTAGAGCAGCTGAGGATATACGAGGTGCGAAATTCGAGCACACTCCTCCTGTGCCATTTTCTTTCTCGTAAACTGCCACTTTTTAATTTTTTTAAAGGTAGCATTTTATAATTTTGTCAATCAGCTGCCAGTTCCTAGACAATTTAAGGCACTATTTGACACCATCCAGGCTAAAGAGGACGCTCCATACAAGTCGCTACAGCCTTGTGTAAATTTGGCTAACACCCCTAGAAGGACATGTCCGTTAATGTTCGTCTAGATTGTATAAGCAAGGCAAGATGTGTAATTCAAAAGTTGTGTGCTTGGATCCCACTGACTGAAAGGTTGCTTTGTTGTCCACTTTAATTCCGTTCTGTATAGGTCATAATCATTACACTAAAGTTTAAAAAACAATGTGTCTAGTGGTTTCTTTGTTTATTTTATGTTGGTCTCATTGTCCGGTTCCAACAAAAAATTGAGCCCTTCAAGCAATTGCTATTCTTCTATTCTTAAAAAAATGTGCATAAAAGTGTTGACTTTAGCTGGTTTTTATTTGTAAGATAGCACGCCACCTGAGCAAAGTATATTATGTTTACGTCAAGGGGGTCTAATCTGTATGCCCAGGTTCTTGTGAGCCACTCCCATCACGAGCTGCTGCTGCAGCAGCCGTTCCTGCGGCCTTTGCTGCATCTGCTGGCCTCATGCGCCGAGTGTGCCCCGCTCGAAGTTGAGAAGCGTCTGGTGGTGTTGCTCAACACGCTCTGTGTCAGTCTGTCCCAGCATCCAGACCTTCTCGAGGTCTTCTTCAGTGCCAGCTCTAACCAAGGACCTGCCAGGTGTGTTTACACCTCTTCTTCTTGTGTGTTGGGGGGGAAGTAACACTCCTTCTTCGGTCTCCTGAATGCAGGCACAGCAACTTACGTTTCCCCTAAACTCTCGTTGCCATCGGTTATGAACTTGTTGGGCACACTGGGTGCAAAGCCTAGAAGGCATGGAATTTCATAAACTCAAGAACTGTTGGAAGTTCAGTAATCGGCACTAATATTTTCCCGCCTTTTACTTTCTACGATGAAGGTACTTTTTTTTCATAACTCGCTGTGAGCACGTGCAGCGAGCAGGAGCAAGAACTACTGCGTACCTGCTGTTTTCAGGCAGGTTGTTGTACAGGCTTAGAACAGTGCAGCTTAGATTATGGCAGCGCTGAAGAAAGTCCTACGCACTATTTCATTCTTGGGTACTAAAAAATCACTACTTAAAGGTTGCTGGTAAGACAGACAATTGTTGGCCATGCCATATTGGCCAGCTTGTTTCAGTGGTTCGTGCTACACAGTAAGAAAAAATCGAGTATTTGGAGGCTTTTCCGGTAGAAAACAATGCTACTTTCGTATGAAGAATGCTGTGTCACACTGATAGCACGCAAACATTTGTCGCCGGCAATTGCCGGGAGGTAGATGATAATAGTTGCGTTCATAGAGTTTAGCTCACATAATTTAGCTAATGGGAATTTTTGAATTGATATGCAAAGCCTTTACCATTAGTGAGGTTCAGCTTACAGGAGACAAGCCATCTATTTTCCTAGCTGAACACTCTCTATTTAGTGTTATTTATTTGTCCATGGGACAGATAAATTAGAATTCATAGGTGGTCCCTTTGGTAGTGAGTGAGATAAATAAAAGTTTATCCAATCAATAAGAGTTTATCCAATCCAATCCTTTGGTAGTGAGGCACTTTGAAACAAGTTTTTTCATAAGCTGTAAGCATCTGTTCAACTTTTGCTAGGCTCGAACACTTTGAATGAAAGAACTCTTGCATATTTCCATTGCATTCGTCAAGGGTGACATGCTGTTGGAGGTTGAATTGCTCGTTCCTCATATTACTATTGTGGAGCGACTGTTTCAGTGCTTTCTAGGAAGTGCATTCTCTCATCATTTTTTTCTTGTTTTCTTGTATGTTCAAAGAGAGCTGCATCATTATTTTTGTGCGTGTGTAGATGAGTTGACTAAAGGGTAGACTTCCTTAAAGGGGCCCTGAAACACCTTTTTGAGTAACCACAGAAAAGCGTATTACCGCACAAATTGAACGCCGCAAGAATTTTCGATTGGCAAGATTTTCGAAGTGGCGGGAAATTGAAAATGAGAAACGGCCCTTTGTGAATGTGAGCATCAATTTGCACTCACATTCATCTCACAGGGAGGTTATAAATTGATTTTGCGCAAGAAATAATGACGCGAGAAGCTAAAAACTTCTCAGATAGGGGCAAAAATAGGTACAGATTTCGAAAATGTCAGCTTCAAAAAGTCGATTTTTTTGCGTTGGCATTCTAAAACCCGTGTCCCCCCTTAAAGGGGCCCTGAAACACCTTTTTGAGTAACCATGGAAGAGCGTATTACCGCAGAAATTGAACTCCACAAGAATTTTAAGAATCCGTCCAGTACGAGCGGAGTTACAAAAGTATGTCACACGCTGCAATCACATTCTTTCTTCTCTCATCCCGATGAAAGCGCTGGAAGCTGAGCAGGCAGGGATGGGAGGGGAGGGGCAAACAAAAAATGTCACTCGCGACTCGTAACCTTGAGCATTTTTCTTTTTTTTTTTTCTTCGAATACGGGCCTTTTTCAGTGCGATCGCACGTGCGCACACATGGACAAGTGGCGGCCTCTTGCGGGGAGCTTTGTAACAACCAAGCGCACCATATTCAAATCAGCCAATGGCTGATGGATGGGCTAACTGGGCCTATTTTCTATGATTTGTCGAGAGAAAAGAAAGCTATTTTTAGCTGACTTTGATAATCTATTGTGAATTCCAGGCCGCATACTGCGCTATAATATTTGGCTTGCGTGTTGTCGGGAGCCTCTACTACCGATCGGCAGAGTTTTCTGACCACGCTCAAAAAGTGTTGCAGGGCCCCTTTAACCATCAGTTCTGATAATTATTTTACAAGGTCGTGTTGGCACCATTTTCTTCATCACAACATTGTCAGCAGCTGTCACTTTGACGGTTTCAAGTCATGCAGGGGTAAGGGTCACCCTTTTCTTTGTGTGGGCTTTCTTTCTTTCATGGTTTCCGTCATCATAGTTCGACTCTGCGATTCCACTTTTGCACGACCGGCGAGTGTTTCGACAACTTGCCCACTCCAATGCCCACTGGGACTCCTACAGGGGGGTAAGGTCGCTCGCCAGAGCAGCAATACCATGTTCTGTCTGGGCTCCAAGCCATGCTATGTTGCCTTGTTTGTTGCAAGAATTGTCACTTCATGCTTTTTGGAGTGCCAAGACCAAGTGCAGAGGCTTTTTCTTGTCTTGTCCTCTTGATACAATATTTGTTAAGATGGGTTTGTAGCGGCAATATGTCCTTGCCTTGTTGACAAGCTGTTTCTTCAGATCTACCTTTGTATGTGGGCTTTACTGCAAAGCATCAATGTTAGGACTTTTATGACTTTCTGTTTGCTTTATCTGTTGCACTAGTGCCCTGTTGTCCAGCTTGTCGCTCATGGTAATTGGCTTTTTATTTGTTACAATTTTCTAATTTGTTTTAGGTGTCATTGCATACATTAAGAAAACTGAGAGGCAATTTTTTTTACATGTCTGTCACATAACATGGCAGTGTGTACAAAATTGTGACCTTGGAGTCTTTTTTAGAAATTGGTGTGTGCATCTTTCGGTTACCTTTAAAATTTGGTACTTTGTACAGTACAGATGTTTCTCCAGCTCCAGTAATATTTTACAGCAGACTCATATAATTCGTATGACGTTAGTCTCATTTAGTCCTTTTTGTATGTATTAAGCTCACACGTTATTATAAAAAAGTTGCATCTTACAAGAGAATAAGTTTATTATATCTGAAAATTTGCCATAAAGCTTATTCCTTATAGTTTATTCATTGTAAGGCTATTTTTTATTGACTTTGTTATAACCAATATTTCGTTATATTCATGTTTGTTATACTGATGTTTGAGCATAACAGTAAGAGTACATTGTAAAATCGCTCTTGGCGGATGTTGTTTAGTTGCATTCTAAACAGTTGGGGAATTCATACCTGGTTTTCATAAGGTCAATTCGACATATCTTAAATCTTAGTAATGTATAAAGAGACGTTTCCAAACCCCTCTTGCTCTAAAGGGTGTGTGTGGTCAGGTTCAAGGTTGATCATTGCGAAGAACACCTTGCGGTGAGGTGCTGAAGTAGCTACTGAGTACAACTTGAAGGTTTCGTTCCAGTCCTATTACAGAAGTGATTTTGTACTAACTGATTGGAAATGACAGCTGCCACTGTCAGGTATTGAGCCTGTAGCCTTGTTTATCACAAGTTTGTTACAGCACTGCCATTGCTTGAGTGTGGCATATATTCATTGCCTTGCAACCAATGCACTTGTATTCATCTTTTGCTGCCTATTTTCATTGAAAAATTGAGTGAATGGGCAGCATGATTGTCCATTTGTCTATTTTTTTTTGCTCAAGAAGAATTATCATGCTATTGCAGTCTTGAAACAATTGACTTTGAATCAGCTGTTTTTAATAAAGGTAACTAAAGCAATGCCACTGGAAATTGTTGGTTCGCTATTTAGGAGAATGTGTAATTCATATATGAAACTTTTATAGTAGATTGTGTACAATGTTACATGTAGTCCCTGTTCCCACGGGGTTTAATTTCTTGTTTTTGTGCTTTGTTCCAAACATATCACATTTTTTAAGTACTATGTTGGACTTCTTATACTCGCTGTATAGCATTTATATTTTTCTATGGCCTTTCTTTTTTTAAGAGGTGGAGGGTATTAATTTAAGTGCCTGGAAACCAGCAGCTGCAGATATCCTGCTGAGCACATCCCATTGAAGTAGTGAAAACATTGCATGTGTGAACATGCTACGTCTTCCTTTCCATTGGAAAATGCATTGTGTCCCAGTGCATGTGTGAACACATTCTATTGCAGTAGTGAAAGAGAGTTGCCTGTGAGATTGTTACAGCGCTGCCTGGAAACATTGCAGGTTTCTCATCTTCTCCCTGCTGATTCCTTTCGTGCATCGAGAAGGCGCCATTGGCCAGCAGGCCCGAGATGCACTGCTGCTGTGCATGGCACTGTCACAGAAAAATGAAAGCATTGGTCTCTACATTGCAGAAAACTCAAACTTCTGCCCGGTAAGCAGGATTAGGGATGGAATCGGAACTAGGGTGTGTTTGTAACGACAGCGAACTTATCCTACAGCAAGGGCCAACGCCCATTATATGAGCGTAAGCACAGGAATGAAAGCTTTTCATTGCTGAAGTGAATTTTTGTTTTCTAGACATTTTTTATGCAAAATTCAAAGCAGAAGGGAAGTGGTAACATGCTATCTATGGGAGAAGTAAAATTTTTAGAAATGTAAAAATAATGTAATGCTTCAGTTTATTAGTCGAGCAATATTGCAGAATTACCTATATAAATTGGCAGGTTAATGCAAACATTTTATAGGAATTACAGGATCTGCATTCAACATCAATATGTCTCTTGTGCTTAAAAAAAATGTCCAAAACTCATAAAAAATGAGGAAAATGGAACATTTGAGCTTTTGCTTGCTGTCTTAACTTTTTCTGTTGTCGGAAACATCTTAAAATGACTAAACACAGCAATTACAGCAGTTATTAAATAAAATTAATGAATAAACTTTTTAGCTAGAAAAGACAAGCAGTCAAGTCAAATTGGAGAACTGCTGTTCTTGCCAATATGCGATTGGTGCTTTGCAGTTTTGAAAAATCATACTCTGGTAATTATTACGGAGCAGTGGAAGTAGATCGAATGCACCAGTGAGACTGAAACCAAAGCTCCGATGAGGGCAACTAGTAGACAGCAATTGAAGTGGTGATGATTCTTTCTCTAAAATAGTTGTGCCATATGTGCTCTAATTGCAAATTAAACGTGTACAACCACAAACCGAAGTATAACGATGATTGGTGTAACGACAGTCACTCATTTTGAATGTCATAGAAGAGCACGGCAGTTGCACTTTTCCAAGTTTTGGTTTCATTTTTGCCGATGAAATTGGTCAGGTTTCATTATTCACCAGTAATTGCTAGTGGCTGCTTTTGCGAAATCTGAAAGTTGCTACAGTCACTTCGCAGAGAGGACGTTGAATTTCTCATTTGACCCTACCACCTGCCTCCACGAATAAAAATTTTAATGCACCTAATTCTTTAATTACTGCCATGATTGATACCTCTAAATATAACTATTGCCACAGGAAAAGTAATGGTGAATGCAGTGGGAAAATATATTTTTCTTTATCTTTGAGGATCTTGGGACACATGTCTTGGAACACCCTGTGTAATAGGAACACATGTTTTGATGTTCCTTTTGTCACTTACTGCTTACTTTTTCTTGCATGTTACTGGTGTGGCAGTCCTGTTAGTAATTACAGAACCTTTGTATGAGTTGAAGCAGTAAGAAAAAGATGAGACAAAGCTAGAGGACAGATGGCACACCAGTGACGTGCTAAAAACCATCCATCCTCATGCCTTGCCCCATACTTCTGGAACGTTTTGAATTCTACTCATGCCAAGTAGCCCATGTCGACATGCTTGTTCGTTAAACTCCATTGTTCTATTCGTATGTGTGTTGTCATGTCAGCAGCCCAGACACTGTAAATGAAGCATTGTATTTGGAAGCGTTCCTAGTCGTGTGCACAGTGAAAAAAAATAGTGGTGGAGATGTTGTGATACTTTCTAGCTGTCATATCTGGTTGAAAGAGTTGAAAGATCTTGAAAGTTGAAGAAATTTTCTAAACTTAGTCGTGGATGTTGACACGCCATATTGGCATCTGCCGTGAGTGCCGCTCTTTTATGGAAACTGTAGCACTTCTTAACCTTAGGCACCTTTACTTCTATTTGGATAAGACTTGCTCCTAATGGGGCTCACCACTGTTGTATTAATTTGCTTCACAGGTGTTGGCCACCGGATTGAGTGGCCTCTACTCAGTGCTACCGCGAAAGCTGACCATAGTTGCGGATGACTGGTACCGCCTCACTCATGAGGACATTCAGGAGTTCCCAGAGCTCACGATGTTCCTCAATTCCTTAGAGTTCTGCAATGCAGTGATCCAGGTACAGCTCCATCCGCAGACCGTTATGATCTTTAGTAACACTGGTGAATGTTTTGGAGCTGGTTAAGGGTCTGTTAGGAAGGCCAATACAGGAGGGTGTTGGAGAATTTCTCAATAAATTTTCTGAAGGAAATGTTCTTGCAAGCGTTTTGATTAACACATTATAATAACTCGTTAGAAGTCGATATTGGAAGTTCATGCTTGCTGTGCTCATGTTCCAGTGTTGTAGTGCTGTCACTCCTACCGCACCAGGTTTCGCAGCTTTAATTGAGCTAAAGCTGCATTTGAGGAATGTGGAATGGTAACCTTGATGTTTCCATTGTTCTTTGCTATGAGTGGGCTGTAGTATAAGCACAAGAAAACATTTGGTGCTTGTAAAATTTTAGCTAGGAAGGTACTGCTGGGCCTAAAAGGCTTTCATAATGCTTGAACAAGCTTTTTAACACACTGCAGGACAGCACTTAAAGCTCTTGGCATTTGGTGAGTATAGGGGATTGAGAACAAGGATTTAGTTTGCCTGCACAAAATTAAGATTTCACTGTTATTGCATTGCTGTTGCTTGGCAGTTGTGGTGCTTAGTGTATGTGCATATTACAGTCACTAATCTTGTGCACAAGGCAGAAATAAAAAATCAGAGTGCAATAAGGGTCATTACAATAATCGCAAACTTTGAAGGTAAGATACTTTTCAGCAGAATTAACCATATATATTGGCAGGTTAATGTGAACATTTTACAGGCATTACAGGAGCTGCATACAACGTCAAAGTGATAGAAGTCACTTGATGGAAAAATTGCTGCACAAATGTGGAACAAGATTTTAGATAGATATGAAAGATTGCTTAAAATTCATGAAAGTTTGTTTGTAATAGAAGTACTGACATATGCAGAAGCTTGCAATGAATGGGTTTTATGATAAATTTGAACTATAAGTCTTTAAAGTGCTGTGTTTCTTATTTAGTGAATTGATGCACTAATTCTAGTAACCACAGCACATTAAAACGGAATTTGAGGCTGTGTGCTCAGGCTTTATGGAAATTCAGCCGTTTTGCAAGTTACACATAGGGGGAAACTTTTATAATTTATGTGCATGAATAAGACATTTGTGGGTACATGTTGTGTGTGAGTACTTTCCATTAGGAAACGAAATTGCTGATTACAAAGTAAGCACCCAATACTGCAGTGCAGTCAAGCAGCTGGACAGTTTGAATACAGCAGGAATATGCCAGCAAACAAGTTATAATACATATAAAAATAATCAACTAATCAAAGGTATGTGGGCAAAATGAGTTTAACAAGCACTAGCATTGTTTCTGCTACTCTGATAAGTTCAAAAATACATAGTACTAATAAGCCTCTATTTAGACAGCAATAAGGATGGCTGTTTTTTTATAGTAGATGAAATCTTGTCGTGAAACAGCTGCTGCTATAGTATGCACTCAAAGCTTGATATTATGAACCTGGATACAATGAAATATTGGTTATAACAAAGTAAATGATCCATGGTCTTGCAATAGATATATCGTAAAATTCCAAGCAAGCCCCCCCCCCCCCCCCCCCCCCACTCTACACACACACACAAAGCCGGAATTGTTGGCAAAGTGGTGATGGAGGGGGGCCAACTCAGAACGGCACCAAAATTCAAGATGGGGGCACAATTTTCGTGCCAGAAAAAAAAACAGTGCGCATAGATTGAAATTTCATTACAGTGAACTTTATTTAGGCTCAGGATTTGTATCGGCTTTCAATCGCTTTGAAAACGGTTGAAAACTCCAAGTCAGTGTTAAAAAACAGGTCGCAGCATTCCGCTTCATTCCCGCTGCAGTGCCATGATCCAACATGTGCCATGATCCAACACCACAGCTCCAACATCGGCCTGTCTGCCGTGCAGGTTGCCGTCCTCGGAGCCATCGAGCGCGTTAATAATGTTGCATCTCTTGAAGGATTGTGCCACTGTCTCCTCAATAACAGCAGCCCACGCCTCTGCAACAAAATCGAGCACATGTTGCCGCTACAGCTTCAAGTTTCCGTTTAGTGTTCGTGCTTCCTCACACAGATACTGCACCCATAAACGCCGCAAGGTGGACGGCTTATTCGAATACGCGTTAGCAAGCTGCAGGATGCTCGTGCACCCCGCAGGCACCTAAAGCACGTCAGTGGCAGTGCTGTATTCCTCGAAGGCATTTGTTATGGCTTGTGTCTTATGGATGGACGCCTGGTCCAACACTAGTGAGCGTTGCATCTTGTCTACGTTTGGGCCCCAGACTCTTGAGAGCCATTCTTGCATTTTCTCCGATGTCATACAGCTGTTTTTTATGGCAGAGAGACAAATTGCTACGAATGGGAAAAGAAGTTGGCATTGTGATAAAATGACAATGTGACCCCTCGCCCACATTAAATGAAATAAGTTATTCTCACCTGGTATCGAAGGCTTGCAGAGGCCCTGGCTGGAATTTTTTCGCTTTCCTGTTTGAAGATGATAAAACCCGAGAGCTTGTCCGGTGGCACAAGCAGCTAGGCAAACCATGAAGCCTTGCGGGGCACATCCAGTGTTTGCAATTTGTGTGATGCTTTCGCCGACCACGTTGTTTGTCCTGTTGATTGGGTTGTCTATTCGCTCAATTGCCTGATCCATGTTGGCCATGTTATATAAGGTGTAGCCAGTGCGCCGTTGCAGCGAGTTTGCGAAAGACCGAAAAGCACTTGGTGCCACTGAAAGTTCCTCCGGCATCTTCTAGCCCTCGCTCGTAGCGGGGCGCATCGCAACGCCGAACCGCTGTTTTCAGCGATTTATGTAATGGCTGGAGGCTGCATAGTTTCTCAACTGCATGCTGTTGGCAATTTCGACGGCCTCTCCGGAAAGAATCCCATTGCCGACAGTACGTCCTGCACTTCTTTTGCGCTCAAGGTACTCGAAGAGCGTATCGTCCACGTGTTCGCTGAACACTGGTGCGCTGTTGCTTAGCTTCCGTTGGAGTTTCGCTTTCCTGTAGTTTAGCTGCCGCAAATTATTGAAATTCTTCCCCCATTCCCTTATGCGCTTCCGGTTGAGCTTGAAAAGTCGAGACGTGTGGTGCACATTCTTTCCGTTTTCTCGATGCCATATAATAACCTTGATTTTTCTTCCCCATTGTGTCGAATTGCATAGGCATAGCTGACCTCTCGCCGCAAACACAAAGCTACACATCATGCGGAGCTTACGCAGAGCAATCAGGTTGCAGTGTAAAGTTAGATTGCATTCGACTGGATTGAATTGGAGAAAGGGCGCTTTCCTGGAATGGCGTGGATATTTTAAATCTCCAGTGAAGTTGGGGGGGGGGCACTTGTTCGGAATTCAACGGTAGTGTTAAAGCAAACCTCTAACGAATTTTTAATTATAATGAACTTACTTTCATGTAAAATGCAAGTTCTTTATAACGAGGTTTGAGTGTACTTGTGTGCTTATGTTGTTTTTACATATTGGCTGCAAACTCCCACTCTTGCAAGCTTACGAGTGGGTGTTTGAATGAGGTATTCTGAATGTTATATTTCAAGATTGGGGTCGCTGTGGTATTGTGGTGCCCTCATCAGCTCTCCTAGAGGGTTCACTTGTGCTCGTCTTTTCTCTCCCTCTCTCTTTTTTCTTTATGTGAATATTTTAAAGGTGTCTCATACAATGGTCCAAGAGCAGCTTCTAGAGTACATCTACCAGGGATTTCTGATACCGGTCATGGGACCCGCTCTGCACCAGGTCTGTGCACAATCTTTTTGCGAAACAGAATGCCACAAGAACATGTTTGGTGAGAGTAGGCTGCATGCTGTTGCTCTTTAAAGAAGTTTCTTGCTTTCAATTGTTGTTTTTCTTGCTTGTCAGGCATGTAGTCCATGCCCTTTGGAGCTCACCTTTTAAGTGAAAATGTAGTTCGAAATGCACTGTTTTGTTTGTTCACATTCATGTAATATACTGAAGCTTTATCCTTCACAAGTTCATGAAGTTATTGAAACTATAGGGACAGCTGATGGTGAATTTTATATATGTATAAGGTACTCACACATTGAAGCGTTCCATTATTATTTTTTTGATGCGATGACTACTATGAGCAATTGGTCATGATAACTGTGTCATGGCATTGTAAATCTGTTCACTAAAGGCAATGCTAGCTCTAATGTAAGTGTTTCAAGTAAAAAATTACGCTGAAATGATGTAAATTGTAGACACTGGAAACAAGGGCATTGCGCCGTAGCTGTTGCCATGATGCTGGGAAGCTAGTGCCTTCGATTGACGCCTTATCTTGGCAATCAAGTCTGCCCCTTTGTTGTTTCACAGCTGATAAAGGCGAATCTTGAAGCTCTTAGGTCAAAGGCGTCAATGCCCAGATCTGAAGTGCTCGATAGTGGCGTGGTACTAACGACAGGGAGACTGTTACCGGTCTCCGAGTTAGGTGGCAGGCACTGGCCACGACTTTGACGTAATGCCGCTAGAGCAGTGTGTTGATGTTGATTCGGCTGCTGTCCTGTCGTTCTGTATGTGAAGCATTTTTCAGCAAGGGCTATTTGTCATTGCCTTATAGCACGCTGTGTAACGAGTCTCAGCAAAGTTGCAAAAAAATAATGATAATAATGAAACTCTGATATGGGCACAGAGTTGAATCAAGACTGCATAAACACTAACATTTGTGGTGTCCTGACATCTTGTTTAACATGAATGCCTACAAAATAGCTCAGCTCTTCGTTATTCTAAGTTTCCTGGTCCTTTGCTTTGCAAATGTTTGTTTCTATCACAAACGGTCAGAAATAGTTGGCTCAAGTAAAATGTAGTGGCTACACAAAGGTAATGGTATGTTTTAACATCATGCAGCCGCTACATTTTTGTAGGCAACAGGTGTCATTTACAATTTACATTTGCTTACAGAAATGTAGCATCTGCATGAAGGTGCAATGCTCTATTAATTTTTTTTTTTTTGTGCGAACGTAGCGTTACAAGCTGAACTCTATGTGAATTCAGAGAGAAAATTAGCTGAAATATTTGCTTATCGCAAACAACATAGTTTCATTATTCTGTCAATAATGCTCTGAAAATGTACTCTCAATTCATTTTTTCACGTCACGTGTGGTAGAGAATCTGGAAACTTGTGATAACCTTGATATTCCCAATAAACAAGTATGCTTTGAGAATAGGCCAACTGAAAGATAATGCAGTTTTTTTTTTAATTTCAAGTTGCTAATTTCAATACAAGAACCAATCACTCGTTGACATGCCCTCGCTCAAACAAATGGTATCTTGCTTTTTCACTACGACTTAGGGGATTATTAACAGTGAAACTGTACATGTTATGCATCTATATGTTCAGGGGGACTTAATTCCAAAATATCCCTGACAGTTCACATGTTTGAGTTCACATGAAGTGAAAAAAAAAAAATCTGGGCTTCTGGGTTCTGGCAAGCTTGTGGTGTCTCTGCTTGTTTTGTCTTGCAATGTCTGCATTTCCTTGTGTGTTTTGCCTATTCTGACTGCTTGAACTGTTATCCTTGGTTGGTGTTGGCCTGATTTACATGTTTCCCTAGCTTGACTTAACCAAGGACACTTCGTAAAGTATACATTGTAAACGATGTATAGGATATTGAAAAGCCATCATGCACATCTAATCAGAGGAATTGTGACTGCCGTCGTCTTGTGTAAAGGCAAATCCAGCCTTTGGTTTCGAGCAGATTTTGCCGTCAGCAGTTAGGAATGTGTATTGAGATTGCCCTATTTCTCTTGAACTTTATAACAGTGGGGTAGCACCAAATTTGTATTTAGAAAAGGAAGTAATTTTGGAAACTTTTATTTAAATACTTTTGTGGAGTACACATTATTTTTCCTTAAAGGGACACTAAAGGCAACTATTAAGCCAATGTTGATTTTTGAAATGGCAGTCCGGGAACCTCGTAGTGTTACTTTTGTGCCAAGGAAGGGCCTATTTTGAAATAAAACCACGTTTTAGTGGTCTGCATCAGGTTAGCACACTTCAAACTACCTGCCTCAAGAAGCAGACCGACCGGACTCACTCACGTTGCTGTTGCCGTTCACAGTGTTGCCTCGCTTTACTGCAATTGTAGCAGCTGTTCGAAAGCAGTGGGAGCCACTTCAGCTACAATGGCCATAGATCAGTTTCCCGCCATTGTCTCCAAGATTGCAGACGTATCTTGGTTCAACTAGGCCACGCTAGATGACCCCACCTGTCCAGTTTGACTACGCATTAATTTAATTTTTAAATCACTCGTGCTATTCCCCGTTAGTGACGTCCGGCGGTTCTTTTTTCCATTAATCAAACAGAAACGATCAAGCAGCATTTTATTGCATCTCTTGATGCACGAAAGGTTATTTATTTAGTGCAGCTAGATTGATTACTAATGATTAATTATAGGTGGTTTGTCTGATGTCATCGGGATCATTTTGAGAATGTCCCACTGCAGCGCATCTGTTTTTGTGCATTTACCTTAATTTCTCGATAAGTAGGGCACTGTTGTTGGTAATATTGTGGTTCTAATGTTGTCATACATTGAGCTTTCACTGTGACGTAAATTATTTGACTTTAGCGTCCCTTTAAAAACACTAGGTTTAAATTTGATTTATAGTTTTGCTGGTAGATTACCTTTTCTGGAATTGAAAATTATCCAGCTTTACTGTGAACATGCACTTGATACGTCAGATAAGGTGCAAAAAATGGACTCAGTTGAGATCATAGATACCCTTATCATCTCTGTACGAAGCCACAGATTTGACCAAGATGAATTAGTGACTTGCTTATGAAAAGAAAAATGAGTGGATACTCCTCTGAAAATTTCTTGGGCTTTTTCAGCATGAAATAAAACAGTTTAGCGCATAAGAAAAAATGCCACTTACATCATTCTGGTATAACTGGGTTGACAATCGAAAAGGAACCTCTAAAGAAAAAAACGTTTGACCTGTGTTTTCTTGCTAAAAGAGGTGTCTACGAATACCTGTAAACATTCCTAATGTTTCTGAGAAGTCACCCTTTTAAAGTGGAAATAATGTGGCTTCTTTTGCAAGTGCTAAAATTTTTATTTGTTAACCGATTAGCTAGGTAGCAACTTGTGAATGCTAATTTGAAGGTCATATTATAACTGTCTTAAGCGCGTATTTTCACGTTAGGCCACTGGAGGAAAATTTGGCACTATATTATATACATGCACTTTTACTCTGGTTAATAGTATGGTAGTAAGTGTTGACCCTTCTGAAGCCAATTTGTCATCATATCAATGTGATCCAGATTCAGCAGCAATAGAATGTTGTTGTGGTTTACCGATTCACGAGTAGCTGTGAAATGAATTGAACATGTGAATTGAGCATGTAAAATACTTTCTTCTCTAATATTTAATGTTATTAAGGAGCTTGAAGGGACATCAAAAACAACAGTGTTTACACTCATACTAATAAATTAGTCTTTATCACACCGAAAACACCACTCTTGCTGTGAGAAGATGCTTGGTTAACTGGAAAATGCACAGAAAGAAAATAAAGGTAGTGAAGCCACCTTCAAGCTTCCATACCAGCTCACCATGATGAATTTTGACGGCATCCACTGCTGCCTCTTCACCTGTAAAGATGAATCGCATTCTGCCAGGAGGCCAGGGAACTGAGCTAACGGGGCCAAAATATGACAAAAATCTCAAAATTCGTGACATCACGCTAACATCCATGTTGTGTTGCTTGGGCATTTATTTTATCTTTTATTTCAAAACCTATGATCGCGAGAATAAAGATACCATAGAAGTTTTCTATGAACAGTTGATCACTCTGAACTGTCTCATTATAGTGTTCCTCTTAGGAGGAGGGTAAGAATAGCTCCATTTTTTGCTCAGTGATCCATCTAAATTGTTAACAACTTTTCGATGTTACCCATAATTTTTACCCCAGATGAATGTTCAAAGGGCCAAATTAGTCTCTGGTGTGAGACTGTATGGTGTTTGAAGGGAGGGCATGTATTCTAAGGTGCAGGTTTCATTGGCAGTGGTGGTGGCAATAAAAGCTCTTGATGTTTTTTTTTTAACAGTGCACATCATTCTTCCAATCTAATTGGTCTTTGCCCGTCCCTCTCTTCTTTCACTTTTTGTTCTCCTCTCCACTGCTCTCTGTCGCCCCTCCCCCCACTCGTCTGCAACGCAAAATTCGGCGTGGATGCTCAGGATACTGCGGATATAGATGTTGACACTCTTGAGGGCTGCACCATATTTGCGGTCAGTACCCCGTCGGGAATCATGTTGTGTTTTTACGCACGTTTTTTTTTACCTCCTGGAGGGGAGGAAGAGTAATGTGAGCATGCGGAGAGAGATTGTGCATAACAGAATAATCATGAACTTGCATGACGTGTTTCTCGATTCGTTGCCCTTAGAATGAGAATCGCTTTATAGAGCAAGCAGTTTTTTTTCATGCCATACGAGAGGTTATGGAAATAAGGCAGACAATTTTAGAAATGCCAACGAGCAGGAGTAAATAACTTCATTGCAGTTTAGCTTTTTCTTTGCCACCCTGGCTTTACCTGTCCATGATAAAACATGAGATATGTGTGCCAAAGTACCAGTAATGAACTATTCAGGAAAAATTTGCGGGCAGGAATTTCCAAGATGCACAGTAGATATTTAAGGTGTATCTTTACTGTGTCTACAGTCCTCTTTCCTGCTTTCAGGGCTGTGGAAGAATACACAGATCTGGTTGCAGGCATCTGCCTGCTATCTTACAGGGGTGTCTGGATAGTAAATTTTTTAGCTGGATTTAATATGATTTAGCATTAACATCAAATTGAATATGAATATGAAATAGTTTTTGAATACTAGTAAGGTGGCCTCTTTCAAAGCAGTGCTAGAATGGTAATGCAGCCATTTTGTAAAGAGCCCGAGATTATATATTCCAAAGCTTTAACAAAAGAACTTTTTGTTTATATTTAATAGAAATAAAATGCATGCACACAGAGATACAAACTATTCAAACTGAGGCAAGCCTGTGTATAGCAGTAACTAGAATATTAGAGATATTTTGTAACCGGAAGTTGAAGTACAGCAGCGACTACAGTCGTAAAGTTCGCACCTTGCCAGCATCTTTTAAAAACCTATATGTATCATCATAAATGTCATGATGAACATAGTAGATTGACCACTTTGTTGCTTTGGCGACACTGGAGTTTTAAGCAAAATGCCTTACTTGCATATTCAGAAACACTTCTTGACTTGCCACCGTCTCAACTGCAGCACGTTGTGCTGCATTGAAGTCACATCGTGCTGCATTGAAGTCACAACGTGCTGTATTGAAGTCACAACGTGCTGCATTGAAGTCACAACGTGCTGCTGTTCAAGTCAAGGATCGTTTCTGGATACGAAATTAATCCGTATCCATTCTGGTTATTTAACTATCAAAATAAGAAGCATTACCCCTTTTTGTTTTAATGTTTTGTCTATTTGAGGTTTCTTTCATTGGCGCTTATTATTCGAAAAATGTTTGATATTTCTAATACTATACACTATTCAATTTTAGTACTGCAGTGTTCCACTCAAAGTGCTATTGAAACTTTTGTAATATTTGCACACTCCTACTATTTTACTGTGTGAAACCTCACCCAAGAACAGTTTTAGTGCACTGTTCTTACAGATGCCATCAAATATTCTAAATATGCTGATTTCCTCTAGGTACGAAAAAAAGAAACGCCACAAGAATTTTTATTGATAAATAAAACCAACTACAACATAGTTAAATATATTGCACTTCTGAGTTGCTATTGCATAAATGCTGCAGGCACTGTACTAGCTCATAAAGAAGTTTAACACTGGTGGTGTACCACTTACCATCTTCAGAAGCTGTTGAGTGTGGCGGCTGCATTTCCGATGGAGGCGGTAATGCTGTATGTAGGCCCATGTGTTCAGATTTGGGTGCACGTTAAAGAACACAGGAGGTCAAAATTTCCGGAGCCCTCCACTACGGCGTTTCTCGTAATCATATGGTGGTTTTGAGACATTAAATCCCACATATCAATCGAGAAGCTGTTAAGTAATTTGTGATAAATATTTTTTTCTTTTTTCAAAATATGCCAGGAGAAAAAAGGCAGATTATAACTTATCAAACTTATCATCCTAAAATGTTAAATGGTCTTCATGCACAGGTACTGCAAAAAATGTTTTAAAAGTTTCACTTAAAGTCTGATAACACATGTTTTTTCTGATTATTTAGCAGCACAGCTAGACTAGTTTAGTTTAAGTGGGAGCGTATGACGCGTCCTGATCTCCTGTGGTATTAAAAGCAGTCATGTCGTTTACATTTATTACAATAGTAATATGTGGGATTTCACCTCCCTGAACCGCCGTATGATTATGAGACGCGGTAGTGGAGGGCCCCGGAAATTAAACCACCTGTGGTTCTTTAATGTGCACCCAGATGTGAGCACACGGGCATATAGCATTTCCACCTTTATTGAAAATGTGGCCACCATGGCGAATCCATTATAACATATGTCTCCTTAGCTATTTGTGCATCTTGGAAATGAGCGTACACTCTGATGTCCGGAGCTTATAAATTAGTCTTTATCAAATGTTCAAAAGACAGGGTGTACTTAGAATGTTACCTAATTACTCAAGACTTTAAGTAACACTGAAATTTAAAAATATTTACATTATATATTGAGCAAAAAATGTTTTTCGAACACATATCATGAAGAAAGCAGTGCATAATATGTACAGTACCGTCCACTGTTAAAGGGAACACTCTAATGAGCACCTGTCATATTGAGCGCCCCGTAACTGCTGGTAGACGTAGAAAAATTGTTTGTGCACGGCACTGGTCTATCAAAGAAAAGTCTGAGCAGTCAACCAGAAGTAGTCTGATGCAAATCTGAGCCACTATGCTTTTGCGAGAGAGCGAAATGCGGACATTGTGCACACGAAAGTGTTCCCTTTAAAACAGTGAATCCCTCTGTACATTGGCCTGTTTTGAATCGCATTCAAACGTATGCGCTTTCAGGCAGGTCTGCTCAGCTATTGACATTGTTTGAAACAAAGCAAACCTTTTGATCAGGCCTGACTGGCCGGATCAGGCCTCATTGATCAGGAACAAGCAAGCAACCTTTGCAGTACACCACATGCATCACTTAGAGTGTATACTGATCTAAAATACAACTCAAACAAAATACCCCTAAATAAAATAAAATCTAAAATAAAATTGCCTGAGTTTCTTTTGACTTTTTATTTTGTCTTCTCTGTTCTGCTCTTGTTATGCTTGCCACTACTTTTTGTTCAAGCATATATTCCACTGCATTTTATGCACTGGGTGTCTTGTTGCTTGCTTAGCATGATCTTTCGCTTATGCCTAATTCTAATAACAACATGACATAGGTTTGTCACTTGAGAATTTATGTTGAGTCCTGCATAGATGCTGTGTAAATACTAGTGCTTTTCGTTTCACGCATGAAAGATTTACGACTAAAGGCTCTCATTGTGTAGTGTACATCCTGCAAGTGTAGGTGCTTGATAAGAAAAGTGATCAGTATTTGTTATACTGTGAAGATGATAGCCTCTGCTTTGAGTTTTCTTGTGCGAACTTCCCAGAACCCTTGTGGAAGGCTAGCTGCACTTTTTACCACTACCTGGCTTAAAAAGGCCAATGCTTTTGCCCTACTTGCATCTTTCTTACAGCATGCTAGCGCTCCCTCTATGTGTCACGTGGTGTCTTGTTCAACAATGTGCCTTGTCCAGATCTTTGCTGTGTTTACTACTTATACATTTTAAGAGATGACAGAAAGTGTGGTGTGTGGAGGAGTATGTGTTCTCATGGTTGATGTGTTGTAGCAACTTGAAATTAAGCATCCTAATTATGAGAGTTTTTATTTGTTTGGCACATATGAAGTATATATGTTGGAGATGGTTGTGATTCAGTGTGAATGGCAATTGTTCAAATCTAAGTGCATCCTCTTAGTGCAAGAGGTCAAGATTTAATGTACTCGTGCTTAGTTTTGTGATTATAAGGTTCAGGAAGATTAGCTCTTTGGGATTACTGCATAAAGAAGGACTTCAATATGTGAATGTGTCAATTTAGGAGAGCTTTTGAACTGGTGGAGATGTTGCATATTCTGATCCACTGCTTGTAGAGCATGTGGATACACTGTCACTTCGTGTTTAGTAGGGGACACATTATGTGCCCTCTATGGAGTTTTAGATATAGAGGTCTAGAATTCTCCATAATAGCAGCACGCATGTTAGCATTGAGGGTAGGTACAATAATATTCAAGAAAACAGGTTGAAATCAATTTCTACATCTAACTTACAGTTCGTTATTTCAAACATTCTTGCTGGAAGTATTGCAGGTGGTGCAGTGCACTGACTGAAACCCATTTTAGGGGCTCTTCTCTTATTGTAGACAGGGCTTTTTCTGCTTCTCTCTATCTTTATTTGTTTGTATCATTATAAAATATTTTCACGGGAGTGAGGGCATAGTGTGAAGTTTCACCAACCAGTATGCATGCATACTGCTGGTTCAGGAGTGTTGCTGACATGTTAGTGTAACTTTTTGCTGAATATGCCTTTCTCCTCATTTTCTCTGTCCTAATTTGACTCAACAGAACACGATGGAGGAAATAGTCACAGCAACAGCATACCTGGACCTCTTTTTGAGGACAGTCACAGAGCCCCAGTTACTGTTGGTGTTCTTCAAGTTCTTGATTACTGAAAGCTATGAAAACCACAAGATCCTCAACACACTGATAAATCGCATTGGAGGTCAATCTCGGGTATGTATGGCATTGTCTTGCATGAACAGCTGTGTTGTGACAACTTCAAAGCTTAAGTTTGCTTTGAAGGTGACCATCTTTGGTGGCAGTGATCTACATACAATACCCGTGGGGCTTAGTTAAACAAGTTATTCCTAAAGATGGCAAAAGCTGCTAGTACTTAGCAGTTGTCAGTTATTGTATGCATAAAGGAGTTTACACTAAATACTTTATCCACTTATACTTAGCCGGAACAGCTCTTACACTCTATCTTTGTTGTTGTGACACTTTTAATTCACTTGATGTCCCTCCAATTTTCCTGTTCTTTTTACGAGTTGATGTGCATTCCTTTAATTCAAGAGGCATCATGGTTTGATCTGTGTCACTATTTGTTTTAGATGGGGCAGATGCCTGCAGAACTGCTTCATTGACAGCAATTAAAGTGCTGCAAATAACGTCACGAGTTCAATTCCCCACGGCCGTGGGGGCTTTCACATGGTGATGGTGAACCACAGTGCAAAACCGAAACGAGGACGATAAGAAGGACACACAAGACGTTGTGTGTCCTTCTTGTTATCCTCTTCGTCCTGGTGTTGCACTGTAGTTCACCATGCAGGATCAATCCACCCAAATTCTCACATTGCTAAGCTTTCATGTAGATTTTTGAAGGAAACTGTTAGATCCAACCAATATTATTTTAGATTCCCAAAGTCTTGAAGTTTGACCAACTTCTTCATGCGTGAGAAGGCCCAAGATGAGCAGCGCTTATACACGCTTATATAAGTGTGTGTAAGCGCTGCTGAGCTTGGGCCATCTCACCGCTTGACAGAGTGTTTTTGTGCCGTTGTGTTGACAGTAACTTACCGTGCATGATTTGATGGCCTTGCTGAAGTACTTTCATCCTCTTCCAGCTTTGCTTGGTGACAATGGCACTCTTTCGGACGCTGCTGGACTTCAATTGCGAAGACATCATGTTGGAGCTAGTGCTCAAGTGAGTGGCTCTCTTTATTGGAAAGCTGTACGCTTTATTTGATTAGCTGGGTTGATGTTATCCAGAGCTCGGGGTACCCGGAACAAGTACTACTATTATTTCCATAAAACACCTCTTTACTAGCAGTGCTGTTCCTGAACCACAAAAGGGTCTTCATATGCTTTTCTAGAAACACCATTTTATACAGATAATTTCAAAAAGTGATTTAGTACTATATTGTCCATATTGTGCAGATCCAGAGAAATAAAACTACTTCACCCTCTCATCACTGCGTACCACATGTCTGCCTGTACTGCTACCCTACAAGCATGTGAAAATAATTTTTGCATTGCAGCAATTCCTTTTTTTGTAATTTCTCTACCCTGTTCTGGTTTGTGCTAATGAGTAATGACACAGCCAACTAGCTATCTTTCGGTCCTTTGACATTGTTTTAATTTCAAAGGCCATGTAACAGAGCAACAAAACTGCAGTCAAGCTCTGTTGCCACGTTAAAGCTCAACGAAGGTTTAGTGAACTTGCTCAGGTGAAGCCGTATTAACGCTGCCATGGTCACTTATTCTATAAAAAGGGGAGACTTTGGGGTTTTTTTTTGTTACTTGTGTCGTACAGCTACAGCATATTTAGACAATGAATCATACAAGGTATTAGTTTCACTGTCAGCTGTAATTGTTCTGTGCATTTCATCCTTTCCCCTATATAGTTTTTTGCAAAAGCAGACTGCTTTCTCTGGAGTTTTTGTTGGACTGGCTTAGCAGATGGAGTGGCAGCATTGACTTCTGCTTTCAGTTTGTGTGCACCCACAGTGATACAGTTAAATCCTGCTATAACGAAGTCTGCTACAACAAAAATTCTGCCACAATGAATATTTTTTTATTCTTCGTCAGCTGGCTATAAAAAACAATATGAAAAATGTCTTGTCACAAAGAATACTTTTTCTGGATATTTCTGCTTTCACGAAGTTTTCGTGAGTACTACCACATAAAATAAAGGAACTTGCCTAGGATTGCCGCGAAATTCTGCTACCAAGTTGGCAGTTTCTCGATGGCTTATGACATCCAGAGTGCATGGCCACATCGCAACAGCCATGTCTTCATCAGAGACGCGCTTTCTTCCATACACACACGTCCCGCTAAATTTATCTTCATTGAGATGCTTGGCAACAGGTTGCCCATCAACCGTGATGCTGCCCGTGAATTTAATGTACTTGTGGACTGCGGCAGAATCGCAATCTTCAAAAACTCCCACCATATGTTTTCGATGTCTCACTTAAAACTACCGCTCATCAACACTAGCCATGCGATCATGACTGACAACCACTAGTCGCCAAGGCGCACACTTGAGCAGCACGCACCTAGTCCCAGCGTAACTGCATGCGGTCGCGTCAAACGCAATCATGGGTGACCACAAAAGTACGCGCGGTCACCGTGCAACGACTGTACTCAATATTTCTTGCCGTAATGATGCGAACAAAGATAGCAGCATCGCAGCTCTTGAGTCATGCACACAGATTGAAAACAGGACTATTGTTTGCCACAACCACTGTGCAGCAAACCGCAATTGCTATCGTCTTGTTCATCAATAGCGAATACGGTCCGAAGGTTCGCAGCTAACACAGCCATAGATTAAAGGTAATAAAGCCATAAAATGACACAAATGGTTACAGCTTTCCTGTCATCCACATATGGCTACGGTAGTGCGGAACTTTGTCACCTTCAGTTGCATTTATCAGTTCGTCTCTAACGAAGCTTCAGCACGCTCGTTCGTGGCGCTGTTCACGCGGCACTGCCCAAAGGTCGTCTGAATATCGCATTTTTTTTTGTATAACTCGCCCCTGACCGGCACCCCGGCCACAAACCGCTGGAGGAAGAAAAAAACTACCCGCATATTCATGCAAGTCATTCTTTGAATTGCCGTGAAGCCAGTTTTCACACCAAAATTCTCGTATAACCCGCACCCCGATTTCAGTTCCGTTTTTTCTGTATATACGCGAGGAAATGCGTCCACCCAGTGTGCGTACAGGTACGTCCCAGTTAGCGAGAGTTCAATGCATGCACTTGCTGGGACCAAAGGACGAGTCATAATAATCAGGTCGTACCAAATTTAGTAGTCTGTTGATGAAATTTCTCTACAATGAAATTCTGCGACAAAGAATTTTTTCACGTGTCCCGTCAATTTCGTTGTAGTGGGATTTGACTGTATAGGTGTTACGTCCTGCCTAATTTTATTGTGGCAAGTGACATCCACACTTCACTCCTTTGCAGTGCTGTAATCGGTGCTGTTTTATCCAAGTGCTAGTGGTAAGGTCGTAGCTGATATTTCGTGCTGCTGATGCGCACTCTGATTGAAAAGTCAGATACACAATGTGTGTGTAAAATCTTTTTTCCTAACCAGGTACCTGGTACCCTGCTCCCATGTGATGGTGAGCCAGAGGAGTCGTGTTTGCGACATAGATCTCTACGGCTGTGCCGCCGAGAAGTTTCTCTCTCTAATTCCCGCGTGCTGCTCCGGTGTCAGTGCCGAGGAGGCTCAGCTGCCGGTCCTGCGCGATGGATTTCCCGTGGAGAGAGTGATGCACGGTGGAAGCCTCCAGATACGCAGTCGCCGCCCCCGCCGCTCTTTCTCCGGGGTCCTGGGCAGCTACGAATCGGGAGACATGCCACGGTCCTTCACTGCCGTACTCAATGGCACCCAGCAGTCTTCGCCGCCGTCAGTTGCGCACACCGGCTACCACCTGTACCTCGCGGATGCGCGTCAGGGTGTGCGCCTCACCAGACGGGCATGCTCAGGCTGGTCTTCATCTTACGACGAGGCATCGTCGTCAGTGGATCTCAACGGGGCCACAGTCCCTCCGGACACGAAGACGGAAGACGCCTCCGCTGAAGAGAGTTCAGTGTCCGCGGGCGACTCGGGAATCTTCGTCACGCGAGACGCCGCCAACAAGGGCGGCGGGTTCGAGGCATTTGGAAGTCCCAACATTGGCCCATTCCTGAGCATCTTGCTGGCCCGGCTGGAGATGATGCTACAGAACAGTGTCTACATCAACCTGCAACTGACAGCACTCATTGCACGGCTCGCCTTGTATCCTCAGCCCTTGCTGCGATCGTTCCTCCTGAGCCATTCACTCGTGTTTCAGCCAAGTGTCCGGTCACTCTTTCAGGTGGGCTTCAGTTTGATTGCTCTTGGAGGTATTAGGGATGACAGCAGCATCACAAATTTTGGAATTTGTACGTTAGCTGCATGGATTCCCCTGTGTCTACTTTAGCACAGTAGCATTGTGCTCGTAAAAGTGAGGTGATTAGTAAGGAAAGGGGACAATGGTATATGTCAAACTGCTAGTCGAGCTTATTGTGTTTATTTCACAGGCATAAACAAATACAGTTGAACCCCTTTATAAGAGACGCTGATATAAGAGACAAATGGGTATAAAAGACACCTGTATGCCTACAGTAAAATACGAGTTGATAACAGAATGCATACGAGATACCGTGCTTATAAGACACATCTCATATAAAAGACAGGAATAGCTGCCCGGATCATGCCTCTTATAAAAGGGTTTAACTGTAATAATAATTTAACAAGAACTTGCTATGAGGGTATTACATATGCTATGCATTGTTTTGGGAGGTTAATTTTGCCATTGAAGTTTAACATAAAGCCTTGGCATATCACATGCTTGTGTAAGCAATCTCTGTGAAAATGTTGTGTGTCAGAAGAAAAAGCAAATATTAAAGCTGTGCGAATAGCAAAATGTTGGGTGCAAAGTGAATTCAAATACTGAAATCTGAGTGTAAATCGAATCTAATATTTTAAAAATATCTCTTGCATATTTCTGGAATATTTTTCGGCTACTTCGAAGCGAACTTGCAGAAAAAAAAAGTTCTTATGCATATTCCTATAAGATAACAACATGAAACTTTCTTTTGGCTTGGTTGATGAAGCACTGTAGAAGCAGTGTTTCACAGTTCTCTTACCAAGAGTGAGGCAATGCAGAGGCTGAATTGTATTTATTTACACTATTTGTTGCAACCAGAGTGATGTCGACGATACTTCACACTATAAAGACAAAATAACTATTTCCTCAGCCTCTCTTTCTATTTCAAATTCGGTAGAGGCCCGACTGATGTGGCGGACAGAAGTGTGCCCTTTTAGAGTTCGGAGTTTTATATCCCGGATGCTTCGTAGCCATCAATATGTAATATCTGAAATTGTGAACGTTAATTCAGTGTCCGATTTTTTGCAGTGCCTGCCTGAATTTTAGGTGCAAAAAAAAAAAACAGCATTAATTGAGATCTCACCTCTGCCCTATCTCTGTGTCGGAACCAGCGTATCCTCGAGTCAATACATTTGACTGCAGCAGAAGAGCCTGAAAGCCAGCTTTGCCGCCGCACGAGTGTTTGATGGGGTGAAGCATATTTAAAATCTGTAGTGGCCATTGTGAACTAGCAAAAATACATTCAGCACACAAAGCACACCCCTAGCAAATATACATTATTGTGTCATCTGTTACCCAAGAATAACACAGTGAGAAATTGTGAAAAGGAGCAAATGATTTATGTGCATTGATGACAGCGAGGGTGCACATGGTGACATGTACTTTTTAAATTAGAAGTTTTTAAAACCGTATGCACCCGACACTGCTCTGATTTTGCTGAAGTTACACTGCAAAGTCACATTTCAACCAAGTCTGACTGATTCAAGATAGCACTTGGACTATTCACTTACCGTGACGCATAGCTTTGCATGTGCTTTGCATTTTCTAGTAGCGAAATGGCTTTGCGCTGTTTAATTAACATGTTTCTGCATTCTTGTCTATTTTTACTTTATCAGGAACAAATCTGATAGAGGCAGTCCATGGTGACTACAGCTAAGTGCATAGACTTTATGGGGTTTTTGTTACTATGGATCAACCTCCTGCAATTAAAAATGGATGGTCAGTCGAGGGGCTTTATGACCCACTTGTGCTGAGAACGCTAAGTTTTTCTTTCTCTTCATGTGCTAATGTTTAGTTTATCATAATTTATGTGTTATACTTGGTCTGATACCTTTAAATGCCAATTCAAGCATAGTAAGCTTAGCACACAGTGTTTTATTATGCTGGGGTGAGTTTAAGGCACTGAAAAACTAATTTTCATGCTTACATACCTTAAGCCTGCATGCAAGTTAGCAGCAGACAAAAAAAAAAAGCTTTTAAGAAGACACTGATGTCAAATAATGACTTTGTTTGGATTGATAAACTGTACCTTGAGAACATCAATGTTGTAGATTTCACCATTATAAGTGCATTATTATAGGATAAAACCAAGGTTAAAGTTTCATTCTTTACCTTCGCAGCAGAATTTCCACACATATCGTCACGAATTCGAAAATGTATTTTTCATATTTTTGCCACATTGGCTCGATGAAATTTTCTGAAGCTTTATACATTAGATCTGTGGTCCTCACAGATGACAATGCACTTCACTTTTACCAATTAGGAACCATGTAGGGCCTAGTAGACCTCGTCAAAATCTTCTGCATTATGCTGTTTGATGTGGGAATCTCAAGGTGGCGTCACCACCAGCATTTTCTTTTTCATGGGTTTGCTAGCTTGCCGAGCGTCATCTCAAATTAAGAGTGGTGTTGAAAATATAATAAACGCAGCCAGCCAGTGAAGGCAAAGAAGAAGGATCATGGCGTTCGATCATGGCCACGATGGCTTCTGGCTGAGTTCCTTCGCGCCAGTTAGCACTTTAGCGTCCACATATTTTGGTGCGAAACCCAGGATCGAAACGGGGACGGGACTTTTTGGTGGGTTGTGGAATTGTACTTAACTAATACACAAAAAATTTCTTTTTTCTTTAGTGCCCCTTTAAACCTCTTAAAAGTAGTTTGTGAAATGTGAGCTTCAATGAGGTATGGCTAGTGCCCAACGGTGCTTTATCTCTTCATCCCCTTGTGCACAAAAACAGGGACAACAGGCACCTTCTTCAGGGCATTAGGATAGAATGATGTACTTCACCTAAATGGGACTATATTTGGTCAGTTTGATTAAAGCTCCATTTAATGCATCGTGTCATTTCTCGTATTTTACTGCTAGTGCGCAGATTTAAGTAAGCTTTCTTCTTTTTCATTGGTATGTCCAGGTCCTCGGCTCTCTGAAGCACAAAGTGGACAGCTACTCGTACACACTGCCCAACTTTGACGAGTTGCTTGCAAGGGCTAGAATTTTTTTCACTGTCAGGGAAGAAAGGTTACTGGCCGACACGCCTCACAGGCTTTACGGTGACCAAACTGCAGTGCGCAGAAGCCAAAGCTTTGCTGCCGAGTTCTCGAGAGGTATGAGAGCAGTTCTCTCCTTTGTTTTTTTCCCTCACAGTGGCAGCATTTGTGTTTATCAACTTGTTCATGACAACTTCACAATGATGCCCTTTGCAGGGGAGTCAAAAAGGAGAAGCCTTGGAAGTTTTTTTCGAAGAACAGGCCTGCCGAAGACGAACCCTGTTCTCATTGAAACAGGTGGTGAAGAGAAGAGCTACAGGTGTGTGTTAAGACATTTACAGCGCTTACACTTCTCTCTTAAAGCTGTTATCTGGAACAACGAAATGATACTCCTCTGATCTTTATTTACAGCTTGTGGCTGCTTTTTTCAGTATGGTTGATCATTCATGAAGCAGAGTGCATCCAGTGAACACTGCAGCTGTCCCAGGGAAATGCGCTGCAATAATAACGTTGCGCATATAGTGACAAACCAAACATTTATCATTGTCAATATATAAAGCACTGATATAAAACTGCATCAGGTGTATAATGGAATGTATTATGCATTTAAACATGGGAGAGTCGGTCAGCACCGTTAGTAGCCATGACGGCAATTGTGGAACACACTTTTTATGCCTTGTTAGCATTTAAATGCACATATATATGCCATAAAATGGACTGGGGAGAGGAGGGATAACTGTTTGTGCAGCATCAGACACGCCTCTAGAAGGTCGCAGGTTCGGTCCCTGCCCGCGGCAAGTTATCCTTTCGCCCGGTTTTCCTTCTTTGCGTTTACATTGCATTTACTTCTAGTAGGAACGTCCTCTGTACTTTCCCGGTGAGTATTGTCTGTAAGCTTTAACTAATATTGTGCCTAATAAAGAAAAGTGAGCCTTTAAAGTTTGCCATTGTCAAAGCTCCTGTGTTTCAATGGCAAGATAACCTTGCAGATTCCTAGAACATTCCTGCATTTCTTAGCAGAGCTGAGCTAGTTGGTACATATTCATTATAAAAAGACGAGGTGTGCAAACACAGGCATAATAAAAAATTTAGGACGCCACAAATACCTTTGCTATGGTTTAACGTCCTTCTCGTGTTTGTGTTTGCATGCACTGTATATTTATGGTTTACAATAACACCTCGTTAATTTGAAGTCACTGGGGCCATGAGAAAGCTTCGAATTAAGCGGGTTTTCGAATAAACAGAACATACACAAAGTGAGATGCAAGGAACTTGGAACTATTCAAAGTAATCGGTGCTCGGCTGGCTTGCGGCTCCAAAGCATATGTTTTTCAGCAATACCTGCTATTTATTTTTCTGCAAACATAAAGGAATGGTGGGCCTCCTTGCTGCCACCGAAAAAAAAAAAAAATGCGGTCGTAACTAAAATGTGCACCTGCAAAAAATAAGGCATCTTCACTGCAATACAGTAGTGACACGCGAACAGCATGTCGCCTGCACCTCGCTGCGTCAGCATGTCACGATGGGACCATTCGCACATTCTTTCTATTGAAGCTCACGAAGTGTTTTGGCTGGAAAAAATTATCTTTGAAGCTTTCGAACTTGGTTTTCAAAGTAGGTGTTGCTGGCAAGAACTCCGCTAGCAGCGCAAAGATGCAAATTGCTGGAGCAGCCGGCAATTTAGCGGAAATTGCACACATTTCTTTACAATCCCAAAAAGAATAAGTGAACCATAACCCGCTCACGTTGCCAGAAACTAGCGATAAGCTGCCCGCGTGTCACCACTGTGTTGCTGTGAGGGATAGCTCATTTTCCGCAGGCGCACGTTTTGATTGACCACGAGACCAATTTTTCTTTCTTTTTTTTTGCACTGTAAGTAACTAGACTGCGGGGCTTCAGCTGCCACTCATTAGTATTAATATGTTGCATTGCCTTGTGGCAATTAATGGCCGTCGTTTTCGCGGATTAGCGGCGAAACCGGGATCTGGACCTGGCACACGTCACCCAAAGTTTTCGAATTAACCGAGCTGGTGCCGGCCGCCGCTTCAAATTATCCACTCAAACTTACATTGCAAAATACCAAACCGCAGAAATCCTTCAAATTAAGCGGGATTTCGAAATAACGGAGTTCAAATTAACGAGGTTTTACTGTATTTCTTTAACAAGCATATTGACGCGCTGCCACTAAAGAAGAGAGGAGCGAGCTAACAAAGCTGCTCGCTATGAAAGCCAAGACAAAACGCAAAGTACTAAAACAAGTTCCACATCTCTTGCTTTACTGTGCAAATAATTACTTGGCAAGTTAAGCCACATGTGGCTGCCATTTGCCAAGACCAACTTGAAAACAACACATTCTGAGCAAGTGTGGCCAATGGCTTGGTTTGGCTACCCACAGCTGGCAAGCCTCTCTGGTGATCTCGTTTGGTTGCACTTATTTCTGTATCAGCGTGAAGTGTATTTGATATATGCCGCTCTTCATGTGGCAATGCGTAGCAAGAAATTTTTTTTGTAGTATATCGTCAATTGTGCAGTCACCGCTGGGAAGGTGGGTTTTGTTGAGAGTTCTTTTGTGCCAGGTATACTATGATAGATGCATGTGCCTGGTGTGCCCCCCCGCCCCTCCTTTGCTGCAACTTTTTTGTCACCCGTTACTAGCTAATGTTCTTGTAAGCTATGCTTTGAAGTACACTCTGTAGTGAAGTTGCACGATTTTCAACGTGCTCTCACAGGTTCATAGCAAGGCCGTACCCGAGCGAATTCACAGAAGAGGGTACCAGACTGGAGTCCATCAAAACTCAAAATGCAGTGTTGGCAGCTGTGGTGCTGGAGGAGTTCCTGAAAGAGCTCGCCGCCATTAGCCAAGAGCACGCCATCCAGCAGCTTGCCTCATGACATTGCGCAAAACGTCACGACGCACTTTCTCCACGTTGAACCAGCACTGAGATTCCTTGTACAGTGTTTTTCCAAGCACCATTGTGTGTGTATGTGTGTTTTCTGTACCATACCGATGCCGGGTCTGTATAGATAGAATAGTATTTTATGGCGAGAGCCTCGTTGTTGAGTTAGCATCTGGGTTCTGAGGTTTTAAATTTCAATGCCGTTTGGCATGCGTCACATAGTCAAAGGGGGCCCCGCAAGAACTGAATGAAAAAACGACAGTGCTGGCCACATTGGCATTCGATTGGCACATCTGTAATATTGCAAAACTTTATTTTGGAGCTTTGCGACTCCTGTCATTAAAAGCACATTAATTGGTAAGAAGCTCAAAATTTTTACAAAAGTATAAATATGCAGTGTTGTAAGAAAGATGAATTACATAGTGATTGTCTGCTACTGCACATTTTCGATTTTCTAGCAGATGCTTTAGTGTACTGCCTTGTGGTATAGAGGGAAAGGTGCAATGTTGTTGACCTGTTTATTGTCCTTCCCAACAGTGAATTGACACAGTTCGCATTTAACGTAGCTTCCGAAACTTGTGCTGAAGCTAGCGCTGCCACATTCTTTCGAGGTCCGGCGTATTTTGGTTACCTAATGCCACCATCATCGTACAGCGGTTAGTTCTGAAGCAATGGGTGTGCACGAAATTAACTATATTTTTCTGTGCAGCTTCAGTTTTTTCAGCCCTGAAGACTAGGTTTTATGTCTTTTTTTTTCTTTATTATTTGCTTTCAAAGCTTGAATATAGCTACTTGTATTGGATGTACGATCCTACAAGAAAAGTCTTCTCAGTGTGTGGTTTGCTGACACATTTTAATCACTTAGTACATATTGTGACATTGTCTAGTGTACTGCTTTTATGGCACTAGAATTCAATGTTTTTCAACTGTATTTCCTCATTTTCAGATTTTATTTTTTTTTGTGCTATGCAGCCATTATTTTAAGGGCCAAGATCTCAGTAATGTTCGAATGTTACATCTCACTGTGTGGACTGTGTGCGAAGTATCCTTGGTGTTTTCTAACACCACTGTCACACTCTGTCAGTCTTCGCAGTTATGCTGCAAAGCATTAGAATACTTGTACGAGACAATGAGAGATCTGAGAGACCGATTGTTATAATGCGGTCAATAATTTTAGCAGTGCTTATAATTAGTTGAGTGCAGCGGTCATGAAGCTGCACTGCAAGGTGAACCAGCCACTAATTTTTTATTAGGTTCAGCGCTATTTTGACCAAGGGCTAATATTTGTTGCGGTTTCTTTCCTTCAGTCCTATCTTTTTTTTATAATTCGTCATTCAAAGTATGGCAGTTTTGCAAATTAATGATGGAGGATAATAGGAGTTGATGAAAGACATAGGAACATTACAAGGTCTAGGCCCTTTTTCCAAGGCCACTTGTTTTGCATCATTTCAGAACATCTATGTCACAAATCATTACCACAAATGCCGTATTGCATGCAGGCTGCTAAACATGCATTCGCCTGTGCTGCGTTATGGAAACCACATAAGCTGTCCATTTTTCGTTTGCTAAAAAAATTATAATGAATTAGCACATAGCATATGTACAAATTTTACACTTTCAGATGTATTACATGGTTAGGTGCATTTGCAAGACCATTAGGAACAACCTCTTGACAGATCAATGAAATTTTAGTGCTTACTGGTGTAGGTTACAGTTATTTCTTTTTTACACTGTATTTGGGGTGCTCTTATATTCAGAGACACTTGTGCTGAACACAGCCTTGTACTTGCTCCATAATGCATTTGAGGATCTTACGTTCTTTGGAAAATGTGTCGTGCAAGTGGGAAACATTTGTGTTGTAGCACGTTATTGCAATGTTTCAAAATATTATTGCAGTGTTTTGGGGATAACATAGCTATCAATTTTTATCAGCAGGTCCACCGAAATAATGAACGCAGCCAGCCTGGTATACAATATTGAGGAACGGCATTGCTTGTACGAGAGAAGTGAGCAGTCGGTGGGTGCCATTGGTGCCAAATTGCAGGGTTGAAACTTGGGAGAATAGTAAACAAAGTTCAGAAGAAACTGCCAACTGCCAAACAAGTGGTGAAACTGAAAATGGTGCACGTAACTTCAAGAGATGTGATGATGTCTGTATCAATTAGAAAACGGCCGTAACATAGAGTACATAGATTCCTTACTTGCATAGCAGGGAACGTTGCAGAGGTTCAATGGTGTTTTTGTCATGCGAGTGTATCACCAAAAGGAAAACAGGGCGCGCTACACGGGAAGAAACCTGTTCACTCCAATATGAACAGATTGGTTTATGGCACGACCACACACTTGACAAAGTCCTACACGGTGCAGTGACCAAAACATAGCTAAAGACATACTAAAAGCAAGAAATGTATATGCAGGCTATGCTATTTGATGTAGCATTAAGCAAGGGGTCATGAATTCAATTCCCAGTTGCACCAACTGCATTACAAGAAAAAAAATTCAGAAATGCTCATGTACTTAAGGATATGTCACCAACAAATTGTTATAGTTAAAATGTAGCATGATAAAAGCCAGTTAACTACAGAACATGCAGAGTAGTATACTTCTGCAGCTGCACTACTGGAATCTATTAAGCATTGCTTGCTCAGTATAAAATTGAGCGTTCATCCTGGAAGAGAAAAGGTGAGCTTGGCTGGTAAATTAAACTAATGGGCCAGTGCAGAAAGCGGTGAACATAGCCAGTTGTAGCAATGCATTAAATGAAGTGGTTAAATGGAGTTCGGGCAAATGCAAGCATAAAGCAGGTTTAGAAGACAGTATGTGGTGGTTGGGCGTCTTTCAGAAATGCCATGTACTAAACTCTGCAACTGAAAGGTTTAATTTGGCAACCTATCAATCTTGCTGCATTTAAAGTTTCATACGTTCAGCTGTGCCTTTGACATTGTCGCTGTAGGTGTTAGTATGCATTGTTTCTTTTAACAGTCTCGCCATTTCTCAATTCTTAAGCACTGAAAGCATCTTGCGCGATTGTGTCGTTATCACTGATGCACTTGTGCTGCTGGATTTGCTTTGTAGTGATTGTTATTGCTACTTCAAAGTGCTCATAAGAGTTCTGATGTTCTAGTTCAAGGAAGCGACGAACACTCGACTATGCTTGTTTGAATTGAAGCTGTTGCGGCATAGCTCTGTTCTATTATTACCCCGAGGCTGTATTTCACTTTTAGTACAGAGCATAGACTGGAAGTGTGTACAGTGCGGCTTTCTATGCGAAAAACACGAGCAACAAGATATTTTTGCTGTGATGGTTGGATGACAGGCATCATTGCATGTGTTACTGTAGAAGTCTACAAATGTAACATGGTAGCTCAATTTGTGTGCTCATGCCTGTGATGATACAAGAATGACTAGTATAATGTTTAGTCTGGCTAGTTGGTCAAGTTCCATACTGAAAACAGCATGAAAGATGAGCGGCCAAGATGACAATGCGAACTACTTTAGTGCTTTGCACGTAGTAGTACTTCCATTTCCTGCCTTTCACCTGCTTGCACCATGCTGATATCTGTGACTGAAATTACTGCTTTTTTCTTATAAATTATTTTTTGTGTTCTCATGTGCACTCTAGCTGCACTTTTCAAATGAATGACGAAACTTTCAGTACTAAGGCCTAGATCATCTCTCTTCACGTCTTCCGTGTTGTTTTCAGTATAAGGTACGCCTACTTTGCTTTCAGCGCAGGAAATGTGCAGGTGTTTACAGTGCATGTACCGATACCTATTGTACATAGAAGATGTTATTTTTCCTCTGCATTCCCGAATGTGACAGATTTGTGATATATTAAAAGATGAGTTGTTGTTAAGGCATATGAGGCAAATTCTGCGTCCCATCTCCAAGCCCTTGTTAATATTTGTGGAAGCAGTTTTTGACAGCTCGGAGTTTCATAGAAACTATTTATTTCGTGATGTCTGCCATTTCTCTTGTGTACTTTGTTAGAGTTGGCTGCTCTGGTTGCGAGCACTGTTTTATTTTCGATTCCTGTGCGCTTTTTGGGGCATGGTAGTGCTTCAGTTGATGGCTGTTGCTATGAGCGTAGCTGTGCAACTTCTTTTAATGAAGATCAGGATACTCCCAGTTCTGAAAGCAGTTGAGATGCGTGGCAGTACTAGGTGCCATGCTTCGACTTGTCACGATAGCAGGACGGCCCGAATTATGTATAAAAACAGAATAGCTATGTTCAGTAGCTTCTGTGCACAATAAATTAGCTAGGCACCCAATTGACCTCACTGGAGATGTATGAAACATTTGTGTCAGGCCAATCCAAGTTTGTTGTGTGTCATGGCAGCTCATTGGAATGATGACAATGGCTCATAGTACGGCCCATCTCTGATGTTCTTGTATGTCCGTTTACACCACCCTTTTATGAAGCTTGTGTGTTATCACAGAGTCGACATGCTACTGTGATAAACCTTCCAAAACTATCCTTAATTGCTTTCAGAACTACTACCGGTGAGCTTGTTTGAGTGTCGTCCATATTTAGTTATACACAATTACATACGTACCATACTTTGTTTGGATGTGGGGAAAAGTCCGAGATGAAGAAATCTTCAACTTTGAAGCACTTACTTGTTTTATGAAAAAGTGAAGAGAAAGAAAATACTGCAATGCAAAAGATAAATGATTTGAGGATGAGATGAATTCGCAGGTTTCTCACTTAAATGGAATTGCCATTCACCATTGTTGAGTGACGCTGTGAATATGTGTAATTTAACGTCCCAAAACCACCATATGACTACGAGACTCCGAAGTAGAGGGCTCCAAAAATTTCGACCTCCTGGGGTTCGTTAACATGCACCCAAGTCTGAGCACACGGGCCTACAGCATTTTCGCCTCCATTGAAAATGCAGCCGCCGCAGCTGGGATTCGATCCTGTGACTTGCCGGTCAGCAGCTGAGTATCTGAGCCACTAGATCACTGTGGCGGGGCTGACGCTGCGAAATTTCTAAGTCGGAGATTCCACCCATCTGTTGTAGGTGATAAGACACGTAAGAAGAAGTGAAGAGAAAGAAAATACTGCAATGCAGAAAATACAAGATTTGAACATAAGATGCCTTTGCAGATTTCTCACCCAAATGGAACTGCCATTCACGATTATTGAGTGATGCTGCGAAATTTATAAGTCAGAGGTTCCACCCTGTTGTAGTTCATAGGACATAGAACAGTACACTCCTGTATGCAATTGCCTTCTTTTTGTACATAGCCTTTCAGAACTTGTTGCATTGCAAAGCTCAAAGCAATGTTTTTTCTTAATTAGTTTTATTAGAGCATATGCAATGTGTGTGCAAGCATGTATGTAAATATTGTGATGCCACAGCTATGGTTTTTACCTACTCTATCTTTTTGCTTAGATATGTTTGTTGCTGTAGCGGTTTTTAGAGTTGGCCACAGTGTTACCTTTTTTTTCCCCAGTTGGATTTGCACAACATGCTGAGGTTTTATCACGGGGTATTTTGTTGCAGCAAGCAAATGGTGTAGATAAGCTGCTCATTCATACATGGCTTTAATAAAGGCATGAGAACACAAGTGTGTCTTTCCTTACTGTAGCTGAATGTTGTGTAGCCAATTGAGGTGTCGTGTGCAAGCGTTTTGGAAGATTGGATCTTGGGCTGAAAATATATTTGTCAAGTTCTATTATTTGAGGCTTCAACGTGGTGTAAACATAGAATCTGACCTTGTTTCTATTACGATGTTCATTTCTGCGAATCTTTGGTTCATAATTTCATGTGCACTTTTTTGTAAATAACAATGCGCAAGAAAATTTGCACTGTATTGGTTCTGATTTCACTTTGGAATGTTGGAGTAGCATTCCCAAATTTAAGGTTTCACAGCTCTTGCGCAGTTTTTTTTTTTACAAAATCCATTCCTACTCTGTTTAGAGAAATTTGAGGGAGCATGACTTTGTCAATCCTTGGATAAAAGTAAAACCAAAACAGCAACAAGAGTGGATCTCATTTGAAATAAGCACATAAAATTGCATACTCGTATGTCCAAGTTTCTGGCATCATGTCTTGAAGGACAAATATATTTAAATGTCCAACTGCCTCTATGAAAAGTAACACTTTGAAACATTGTGACAATAAGTTCCAAGCCATCTAAGCAAATAAGTCTTTCAGCCATGTGCATCGTTAAAAATATTTTTAACACAAAAGTGTTTTATGCCAGGATCCACCTGGCATGACTTATTTCTGTAACGGAAATAACATAAAAAACGTGCACAGTCATACAGCAAAGAAAATGTTTCCGCCAACGATTGTCGAACCGTTGACTACTTTGATCTGCAACAGCATATGCCGGGCCGGCTATTCACTGCACCACGGCCACACATACTGGAGGCTCTACATATGCGCCATTTACTCGCACTTTCCCCTTGCAGTGCTCTTGGTCGGCGGAGTGGTGTCACCCCCTGGGAGTGGTAAAGCTAACTGCGTAATCGTTCCTGTGGCCTCCGTAATTAGACCTTGCAATGTGTCTTAGCTATGCACAGTGCGTCTATCTCATTTGGTGCGTTTTCAATAGAAATGCAATTTTGTCAATATCTTCGAGTTAAGGCGTTAACGCAAACGTCGGCCTCGCTCGTAGCATCTATGCTTACCTAAAATAACTCAGCGATGTGTACCTGGCTCACCTTGTCGGCACGACCTGGCTGTAGCACTTTGTTCCACTTACGCTCATCCAGGAAAAAATCGTGGCTGGGCTACAGGGAAGACAAGGCGCACGCGTTGCATTTCCTTGTAGTCCGGCTGTAGAGTTCGATCACTCTTTAACATGCTGCACAATGGCAACCCAAGTTCTGCGTTCAATTTTCGACACTCTTCCAGCTGTCACCGCTTTCTCTGCAATACAGCTAACTCAAGGGTTTAATAAATCATTGATCATGGATGTTGGTTGTCTGAATAGAGATGTACCTAGAAGTGTCAACATGGGTGCACTCACATTAAGCGGAGCTATAGCAGCCATACACTATAGACATTGCACAAACTCTCTTGCATCAATGTACAGTATACATTCAATTAATTCTGCATGGACACGTTTTACTTTTATGTTATACAAATTTCAATGCTGGAAGGATTAACAATGTCTTTTTTTTTTCTTTCTTAGCACATCAGTGTATTTTACTGCTACAACCAGTATTACTTACTTCACCTGCTTGAAAAATAAAAGTGGGCGCTCAGGAACACTGCGAATTTTTCGCAAAACGTGAACCTTTGCACAGAAACTTTTGAACAACAATGAAAAATTTATTCTCTTTTTTTTAACACAACACATAATATCACTATTAAAATTCTGAGATGTCTCTTGAGAAACAGTTCTTCACTTGACCAGGCTGCCACAAACAATGCCTAAAAAGACCAGATAGCCTACTTGACGGTTAGAAACAAACTTCTTGGCACAGTCACCGGGATCGTCCAAGTTCAGTGTATGGATCTGAAAGAATTTGCAATAATTCAGTAAGGCAGTTTATACACATTTAGTGCCAGTTAATAAAGATGCCAAAAAAAAAAAATTATCCTTCTCATATTAGTAAGTGATCCTTTCACAATATCATGATCGCAGCTCTCGCGGTGACAAAACGCACAAAAAGAGAATATATATATAGGTGGCAACACCATCTTAATGCTTCCACACCAACTTGCTGTGATGTAGATTTTAATGGCATCTGCTGAGGGCATATGTTTGTTATAAAAGGGGTTTAATTCAATAATGCGTGGACTGTGGGTTTCCACATTATATACAAAAAATGTTTAGTTACGCTATTTTTCAAATGCTTCAGAGAGCCGGGCATCTACGTCCATATGTTGTTGAAAGGTCTCTCGTGACTGTCTCTTTTGCCACTGAGTCTCCACAGCGAGCACCCTTTGTTCCTGCTTTGTTATCTGCACAGTCTAGTCTATCAAAGGTCAGTCTGATCCAGCAACAGGAGAGTCATCCTGTTTCCCAAACATAAATGCAGGGGTCCCTGTGACCCACCTTTTCCATGGTAATTGGCAAGTGTCTCTCGGAGACCCTGCGATGATTTGAGGAAAATGTGCAGATCTTTAACAATGTTCATCAGTATAAGTCAACCACATCATATTTCGAGGGAACCAGAGACGTAATGCAACCAGTTTCAGAAAATTATATTGAGCCAGTGCGATTAAAACACGAGAGAAAAATTCTTCGACATCTGTTATGTCCCATCAATGTCCGGCTGCTGAGCTTTGCCAAGAAACTTGACAATACTCTGACCATAATTTTTCCTTTAATACTGAACTAATAGTTGCAAAATTATGATAGAGTTCTCACACACTAGTTAATCAGTCTGGACTGATTTAGTATTTTACTTTAGTGTCCCATAATTAAGCCAGTGTAATCAACTGCAGTTGACTAAATAAAAATTGCTTTAGCAGCTGTTAGCCTTTTCACCTGGCGACCAGTCATGAGAGGCTTTTGTGCTCAAATACAGTCGAACTCCTTTATAAGAAACACTGATGCAACAGACAATTCGGTGTGAAAGTCACCAGTGTGCCTACATTGAAATAAGTGATGATAAGAAAGTGCTACCACGTGGTACCCCGCTTATATCTTAGAGGCACCTCTTATACGACCAATGCTGTTCAAGACAACATTGGTCAACGTGTGTCTGAAGGCTGCATTTAAATGTATGTAAGCTAGAACACACACAAAAAAAACAAGAGACAACAACATTAAGCAATTTCACAGGCATGTTGGAAACGGCAAGTGGCCTTCTTAATGTTGATTTCATAGAAAAATAGAAAACGACTAACCTGGCGAGCTAGGTGTGCTCCTGTTGCTGCAGCAGCAAGGTAAAAAGGCCAAGACTGTCCCGAAGCCAAGCCGGCCAGAACAAGGTTGCTCACCATGCTTGCTGAGAACAGCCACAAATATCTCTTTGACTTGTCGCCAAACTTGAGTGCAGTAGACTTCATTCCAATAACGGCGTCATCATGTTTGTCCTGTAACAAATGGAGTGTAAGCTGTTAAACTTTTATGAGGGTGATAAAAAATATATGCATCTTCACGAAGTGAATCGTGACGGGTGAGCGAAGCACTGGGGAGTTGAGTCGCCCGCCCACTTGCGCATGTAAATAAGTGACAATGCTTGTGAACAGTATATAGTACAATGCTTTATTGGTCATAATTGACATGTTGGGTTGAGTTTTGTCTTTAATTTTGCCTTTGTTATTAGTGCTTTGTGGTCCATGAAATGTAGAGCCAATGGTTCTTCGATGGAATTTAGCCGCAAGTTGGCAAAGACGAGACTATGCGCATTTTCTTCAAATTTGGGTGTTTGTAGAGGGAGGAGTGTTTTTGGTACTTCAAGCTTATGTGAATGTCTCATTTCTTGACTAGACCAGACTTGTACGAGGGCTTGCTTATCAGCTTTCGCTTTATGTGCACGTAGATGGCTGTGTCATCAGGTATGTTTCCAAGAAGGTATTGCACCATTTTCTGCACGTCTATTGGAACATTGATTAGTTGACCTTCGATTCCGTACAGCCCGTTGCCGTGCATTAAACTCCCAACGCTTGAAAGCCGCAGAGTGAATAATCGTTGCTTCCTGAGCTCTCACCTCTGGAGTAGCGGCTTGTTGTCAGCATTGCCACTTGGCGGCTGCTTCCCAAACTCTCGCCTTCGCACTAGCTTGTTTTCTGCATCCGCCTTTCGTGGATGAGAGCGTGTTCATGTTCATTTTTAACCGTAGCAAAAAAAAAATAATGTGCGGTCTGGAATGCATTTATTCTTCGTCGTAATCATCCACAGGACAAACAAAGTGCAAATAATGCCTGATAGATGTGTAGCGGGTATATCGCTCATCTGCAGAACACTGAATGGCATAGTGGGTGCTTGCTCACTCCATGAAACTTACAAAGACGTATAGTGGGCATTAGCAAGTGCTGTGCATGACAAGCCTAGACCCTAGGGTGCTTTGCTCCTAAAAAAATTGATTAGCAACATAACAGCACGAACATGTTAAGACAATACTGAAAAAGCTATGCACAACTGTTCCAAGCTGCATCAATAATCTTTCCTAAATGTGGAAAAAAAAAATGTGTAAAGAGAGGTGGTACCCTGAAGCACAGGGCTTTGGTGGCTTACGGGTCACCGTACCGTTATAATAGAAACGTGGTCATATCATCCATTCTTCCATACTGGCCACTGCTGCCTTAGCCTGCTCAACATTACTGGGGGCAGCAAGTCGAGTACAGCTGGTTTGTGGGATAGAATTGTGGCAGGCCAAGTCAAAGTGTCCACACCGGCATGTTCTCAGTTGGCAAAGGCAAAAGTTCAGGCACTCTTCCAGTCTTAAGCTCCACCGTGGAGGGGGCTTATGACCACCTAGGTGCATAAAACTGCACAACCATATTGTGGCAAATTTCGGATACCAGCAAGTAAAGTAAAAATGAGGAGAAGAAAGGTGCTGCACCTTAGGACATGGTTTCTCAAAATGGGTTCAGCCAGCCAATGATAAATTTTCTCTGGTTCTGCACTTTCCAATTAACTTGGATGTAGAAAACTGAGGTCAGATCGATCTCTTAAATTACTTACGCCCGAGTGTCAACAAGCACATCTCGGTGTGTAACAAAAACACGCGAGATGTGCAATAAATTCAACCAGCAGCTTGTAGCAAGCCTGACTCTAAAAAACAAGCCACATGCTTAAGCTATTGCACTTGAATTCTGGAGGTTTTATATTAACCCCATCTGTATTTCTCCTGTTTGAAGATAGGTGCCGAAGATAAGGCAATGGGAATGCTGCAACCATTTGCAATAACATTTACTCGTGAGCAGGCATTATCAACTCTAGCCTATCTGAAAAATAAGTACAGGAATTGGCTGAATCTAGAAGCCAATATGCGGCTGGTCACCAGTGTTAGTTTTGCATTGATTTATTGATGCAAGGAAAGTTCGTTCATTTGTATGTCGGTGAATAAATTTTTATGACATGTATTCGGTTTTAAATTTATTCCACATGAATGTAGCATGAACTGAATGAAAAATGCTGCATAAAATTCAAAGTGAAAGAGGGCGAGGGGGTTACCTGGCACTAAACCAAGCTTAGCTGGTTTCCCTGGGAACCAACATGCTTGAGAACACCTGCCTTAGGACAATAACGAAAGGAGGCATTGCAAATAGATAAGTAAGGAGATGAGAGAAAGATGAGAGAGCAATGCAGTGTTTATCTACAGCCCAGCGTCCAAACTCACCTGATGTGCATAAATTGTGTCGTAAATTAGTGTCCACGACATAGCCGCAGCGTATAGGGGAAGAACTGCTGACCAATCACACGAACCTTTCACTGCTGCCCAGCCCATGAGCGCACCCCAGTTGATAGTGAGACCTGTTAAGAGGGAAGAATGCAGCACTGAATACCGGTCTGAACATCTGCCATCAGTTCAGGTGACCACTCCTTCATGTGTGCTTCCTGCGTTCTTTAAAATAATTTGTCCACACAATCCTTTTTTATCTGCTGGCACAAGAGCTTAAAAAACAATGTTTTAACCAAGACCTAGGTGAATATTCTTCATGAATGTGGGAGGTTACTCCCCTACATATTTGTTCTAGCAGAGAACTAGCCCTACGGCACATCCCAAAATGCTTAATTTAAATTATACCTGTGTCACACGGGCGCGCAAAAAGTCTTTTAAGTAAGCGGTCTTTTACGAAATTGAAAGACTTTTAACAAAGAGGTGTTTGCGGCGCAGACACACGGCGGCAACGATCTCCTTTTGGTGTTTTCGTTCGAAGACGCTAGTGAAAGCGTGGCGCTAGCAGTTAAAAGAGAAGCAATGAAAATTAAACGATGTATCATGATGTACAAATTAAAGACCTGTTGCACTGCTCGTTTTTTTCAAATAAATTTAAGAATAAGAGATGAAGAAACACCAATGTGAATGTTTTTTGCACTAGATAAGGAAGCATTCCCATAACTAGCGACGTGCAAAAGTCCGTCTGGCGCCACTGTGCTTTTATTTACCGTATTTGTTTTTCGCTGCTCTCGACTGCTCTCGACAAGTTATGGGCGACCGTACGGGAGAAAAAGCGAAAATCGCAAGCCTCACGGCCTGCCTTCTCGCTCTGGAAAGCGAGGCAGACGCTGCAAAAGCCGCCAAGGAGAGGATAAAGCAGCGCAAGACCGAGCGTCACCACGTGATATTGCCGACGCGTTGTAGCTGCTTACGAGAGTAGAAAAGGAAATAACCATTAAAAGAGTTCATTACACCTTCTGCAGAATATGAAATTTGTTTTTACGAGGAGTTTTGGTGACAGAAAAATAAGCATTCGCTCTTTTTTTCCCACCACTCGAAAATTGCTGGCGCCCACTGGTTTCGAGGCTACTCATTCGGAGCCGTAAAAGAGATCGACGAACGCCGTTTACGAAAAAGACCGCTTCTGAAAAGGAGTTCGCTCTGTGCCGTGTGTCTGCTGTCAGGAACTCCTTTTCGGAAAAAGACCGCTTATTTAAAAGACATTTAAGTGCCCGTGTGACAGGGGTATTATGTTTACTTTTAGGGTGTCCAAAAGAAATAGTGATTGCATAACAAACGCACAATAAACTCTCAATGATCTCCAGTGTGCAATTATGTAGTTCTATACCGTACTAGCTAAAACAGTTTATTCATGTTACATAAGTCGAACAGTATATTACAAACATTGTAACTTCATTAGAAAAAAAATAATAAAGCTAATAACATCAGTTTACTCATATCACATAGGTCAAACAGTATGCTAAAAACAAAATAAATTCATTAGAAAAAAAAGAATAAAGCTATTAACATCAGTCTACTCATATTACACAAGTACAACAGTATGCCAAAAGCAAAATAACTTCATTAGAAAAAAATGAAGCTATTAACATTAGTTTACTCATATTACATAAACAGTATGCTAAAAACAAAATAACATCATTAAAAAAAAAGAATAAAGCTATTATTACCCAACATGACTTGTGGCCAGTAGGTTATCCTCTTCATAACGGGATACAATGCGACCAGAGCAACAGAACTTGCCCCAAGGACTATACTACAAGTGTATGAGAAAGCCATGCGTCAGTCGAGAGCATTAGCACATATAAGAAAACATGTAGCTTATAATAATGTGCCTGTGAAGTACACTGGCACATAAAAATTATGGTTGGCATGTTATCTCATCACAAATAGAAACATTAATTATTTATTATTCAACCAATAGATGCCTTATTTTGCTCCCGCTCGACGAGCAGTCATAAAAAACACGGGATGTTGTGGATGTCTTTTTATCATAAGTCGTAATAATGTACTCTATTTTAAACTATCTATACTGGAAAGTATGTAGAAATACAAATCAGTGGGGCTGTGTAAATATTCAAAAATTATTATTAATTAGATGCGTTTCATTGAATTTGGTTCTGTAATCAAATATGGCATATTAGAAAAACTGAATACTTTTAGAATATTCTTCAAATAATAAACACCCATGGCAAAAGCATCGGAGGAATGAAATGTTGGAACAGAGACGTGCAAATGTTTTTTTGTTACAATCGTAGAACTATACATGTAGACCTAGCTTTTACATGACTACTGACACTAGAATGATCACAGGATGAAGCCGTTTTTGCTTAAAATTCTAGCACTGCCGAAGTGGCAGTGTAATTAATCTACTATATTCATCATGACATTTATGATGATATTTACTTATGAATATTATTTAACATTTATAAATCAGTTTTATTAAAAACATGCTGAGAAAGTGCCATGTTGAATACCGCAGTCTGTATCTCAGTCTGTTGGTAAAAAAAAGTAGGTGTAATACTCCTTTCATAAAGGTTTCAACAATATTTGTTTCAAATAAAATGTCGAGGAGTTCTTGAGCTGTTTTGAATATTAGCCATACTATTCGAAAACAATTCGAATAGCACTCGAGTCGTATTTACTTTAGTGTCATCCCTACTTCATTCCGTTCAAAAATTTGCTATTTGCACATACCCACAAACCAGTGTCTAAAAGCTTGAACGCTCTTCTAAATATGGTTTGTAGAAAATGCTTTTCAGACAAGATTCCATTGTTTGTAACTATTGGCACAATTATGATTGCAGTGCATAAATAGTGTAGCACAGCAAGTGTTTGCACTTTTTTATTCTACTTGAAACCACCATGAATTGCCCTCATGATTGGTATAGCAATTACAATGCAGGATGAAAAAATTCAGACCAATCTGCCAGCAGTATTCATAAGGTGTGTAAGACTGATTCATTGGTCTACGACTCAGAGCACTGTACACAATATATTACTCTCACATTACACTTTCAATATTTAAACACATTTATGCTTAATGATGTTTACAGTATGTTGTGCAAGCAAACCAATTCAATATTATGCAAATATTCTAGTGCACGTAGCATGTGCACATAATGCAAATCTGTTTGGGCTGTAAAAGTTGCTTTAGCTGAGAAAACAATATTAGCAGATTTCGTTTCACTAGAATTTGCAGCTGGCTACAAACATGTCCTCAAGACGATGAAAGTGAAGCCTCCTAGTACCTGTAGAACATTCGCACCCATGTTTCACTGCTCAATGTGATCACAGTGTCAGTGTGTGAACTTTGAAGACGGATTAGAAGTCCTCTGGTTATTCAGTGCAATTATTGAAACATAAGCTGCCATGCATCTTCGAAATAATTGAGCCAGTAGTGACACAGTACTTATGTTCACCATAAATGCAAGGATGGGTCTACATACGTGTACCAGTTTAGCTGCAACAGTATTAGCGAGGACAAAGCAAGCTGGCCACCAGTAAAAACAAAAGCGTCGAACAGCGACAGTTCACCACTTGCAAGAGGTCGATTTTTGGTTCGCTCCACCTGCAAATGAAAGCCATTTCTGAGAAAGCAACACCACGAGGTTGGACACTTTCCAGACGGTCATGGTTATATGTGCGAATCAGCACCTTTCTGTCTATATCCCGGTCCCACATGTCATTTATAGTGCATCCAGCACCTCTCATCAGTAGTGCTCCAGCAGCGTACATCGCTAGAAGCTTCAGATCGGGTAAGCAGCCCGGGTCGGCCGCTAGACCAATGCTCCAAGCACCGGGCAACATCACGAGCCACGTTCCTAAAGGTGACAAATAAAAGGCAGCACTAGGAGCTTTAGCACGGACAAAAAGATAAGAAATCAGATCTACTCCTTTGATCTTAAGCATCTTCGAAGCGCTCACCGATCGGCTTGTCCAGACGCATGAGTCTTAAGTACGGCTGCAACTTCTCCGGCGCCGCATGGACAACTCGTTCAGGGAACGTGCGGCGAACGGCCAAAGCTTTGTGAGAACCGAAGGGTTGCGACGCCTCTAGTCGGCTGGAAGACTTGCACCTTGCACCAAAACGATCCTTCGACGTGAGACCCGCGCGACTGGGAACCAGACACAACACGGGGGCCGTCGACTTCACATGAGAGCAGCAGGCGTGGGCGCGCAAAAAACACGCCGCTGCTCGGCCCGCCCGCTTTCCAAACATCACGGAGCTCATGATGGCCTCGCTAGAAGTTCACTCGGTTAGATAGGAAGAAAAGACTGTAATTCGTAAAGCAGCAAGGCAAGTGCTCGGTCCATATGCACCCCATATGCCCTGGAAAACGCACAAACACGTGCGCGCAGCAACGAAACCACAAGGTCGTCGACACAACGCTTTTGGGGCTTTACGTCCGGTCTCCGTACCGTAGGTTCAAGCGGAACCGTTCCGCTCACTGCAGTACCGCTCGCGGCATTGTGTGAGTATGCACACGCAGAGAGAACGCGAAGGACACGTGAAGCGGGCGACTCGGCGATGTCACCTCCAATAGCGGCGCTCGCTGAAAAAACGTATATCGCGTGGTCACTTTTCCTCTTGGCTAGCGTCATGTGTTACCGCAACGCATAATCCGAACACGTAACCACTAGAGACGGGTTGCAGCCGCCTCTGGCCGAGGAGGATATTCCATGATGGCATCAACTGCGCATCAGTGTAAAAGAGCAATGTACTTTCGCAAAGCCAGCGCTTCCTGGCAAATCACATGCACAGCGCGCAGGCGCACGCGGGACCTTGCTCTAAAAGGCGTTGCTATCGTCATATCAACAAGCCGATACGCAAGCCGAAACTGCAGTCAAAGACAGCGTTGCTTGGCTAGTTTTGGTTTCGTTTTCACAACGAGCGCAAGCGTGGCAATGGAGTATGGAAAAACTATTTTTGTGCTGCAGGACGCGCTTAGAGCATGACATTTTGCGAATCTATTTGTTTTGATCAAACCTACCAGCAAACCTCAGCAGTTTTTTTTTTTCAAGTCATCTTCTTGGCGAAGTTATAAGAGGCCCTGAAACATTTTTTGAGCATGGCCAGTAAACGCGATCGATGGGTAGTAAAGGATCCCGAGAACACCAAAACCAAATATTATAGCTCAGCACGCTGCCTTGAATTCACAATAAATGATTAAAGTAGTCGAAAACTTGCTTTCTCTTCTCTCGACAAATGATGGAAGACTGTTAAAAATCACTCGTAGAAGGTCATCTATCAGCCATTGGCTGATTTGAACGTGGTGCGCTCGGTTGTTACAGGGATCGCCGTGGGAGGTCGCAACTTGTCCACGCGGGCGCGCGTGATCACACTGAAAGAGCCGTCTATTCGAAGAAACAAAAAAGAAAAATTGTGTTCAAGGTCACGAGGCGTGCATGACGTATTTTCTTTGCCCCCTGCCACCCTACCTGCGTAGCTTCCAGCACTTTCGTCGGGACGAGAGATGAGATAACGCGATGACAGCGTGCGACAAATCTTTGTGACTCTACTTGTTCTGGAAAGATTCTCAAAATTTTTGCGGCGCTAAATTCGTGAGACAGTGGGCTCTTTTAGTGAATTCATTCCATGGTTACTTGAAAAAAGTGTTTCAGGGCACCTTTAAAATATTCTTTTTTTATGAAATTAACCCGCTTTTCTCATCTGCAACTGATGGATGCGCCTTAGATCTTGAAATTTTCTCACCTAAACGTAAGGAACACAAACTTCAATGCAGGCCCTCTGCGTTCTTTTTGCACTCTTCGGCCAACGCGATCTTCGGACAACACATTGCTAGAGTGCCTGGTATCTCGGTGTGGCTCGTCATTTCTGCTGTGTGGAGATTTCAATGCCCATCATCCTCGTTGGTGTTGTCGCCCACAAGACAATCGTGGAGTAGAAATCAATGAGCTTATTGTTAAACATGATCTGCAGACCCTTAATGATGGCTCATCCACATTTGTCGGCAGAGGAAAGGAACAATCCACTATTGATCTTACCATATCAACGAGAGATGTGCGTCTTGCTTGGTCAAGCGAGGCTGACCCATAGGGTTCAGATCATCTGCCCATTTGGCTGGTTCCAGAGAATTCTCCAAGCAGCCAGAGTGCTGCCTACATACTGAAAAATTGGGACAAGTTCCATCAGCTGATTGCGGGGGCACCATCACACGATAACCTGTTCAAACTAGTGGGTGAATGTCTGCAGCAAGCTACAGTACAACGGCTGCGAAGCATAGACAAGCCAAACCCTGACCTAAAGCTCTTGACACTACGTGCTTGTGGACGACGTGCTTACAGGAGGGCACAGCGTTCCAAAAGAAGCTCTCACAAAACAACTTCGTCGAAGAAGCTGGGCCGCATTGTGTAGCTCGTTGCATATGGCGAGTAGTTTTGGGAGTGTATGGCGCATATTGAAGGCTCTCCGAACACCTGAGGTTTGCAAGAACCCAACTACAGCATTGTACATCACGACTGGACGGTCTGCGAAAATTCTTGAGGAAGATGTTGCCAATATTTTCACCTGTCCTATGTCAAAAGACAACGCTAGTCATCATTCCGTAACAATTTTATATGGACCTCCATGTGAGATGGATGAGGCAGAATTTACCCTGGACGAGCTGCGTCATGCACTTATCCTCTGTTACCGTCGCACCGCCCCAGGCGAAGATGGTGTTACGTACCAAGCATTGCGAAACATTGATGAGGTCTTTCGTCAAAGTATCCTGGACGAATACAACAAAGTGTGGCAAACGAATCTGATTCCTGCTGAATGGAAATCATCTGTGGTGAAGCCAATTCTAAAGCCTGGTCAACCTGCACAACTCCTGAAGTCATACCAGCCAATATCACTAACTTCTAATGTTATGAAGCTGATGGAACGTATGGTGCTGTTTCGTCTGTACGCCAGATTACAGGAGCTCGCTTTCCTTCCTGATGTCATGAGTGGGTGCACCATTCAGCCCTCGACGGCATAGCAGATCTTGTATGATCGCTTGAATCTGCTCGAGCAAACAGACACTCAGCGTATGTTCTATTTCTTGACATACAGCAAGCGTATGACTCGGTGTTACATAGGGCGAATATTTATGCACTGATGAATGGAGGAATTTCAGGTCGTCTGTTACACTTTCTCCGTGATTTTCTATCTAAGCGCGGAATTAAAGTGCACATCGGAGAAGTACAGAGTCAACCTCGTGCTGGTAAATGTGGCGTCCCGCAAGGCAGCGTCTTGTCACCGCTTCTCTTTAACAGCGTACTTGCTGGACTTCCTGGCCGATTACCGCAAAAATATGACTTTCCTATAGGCATAGTGATTTAAGCTGATGACATCGCACTTTGGGTCAGTGATGCATGGTCCACGTCTTCGTGGTATATTGCAGCGAGCTCTGAATGCAACTTCAGAATACTTGGTGGAAGTTGGCCTACAGGTTTCACCTGCGAAGTCAGCTGCCATCGCGTATCATCCAAGGCAACGCGCTCGTCGAAGCCTTAGCAGGCTTTACCTCGGAGACACACCGATACAGTGGGTATACACCAACATCGATACCTGGGTGTAATCATCGATGATCGCCTTTCTTGGCGCCCTGCTGTTAAAACTGTGAGGCGAAAAGCGCTGTCTCTGTTCAAGTGTAGCCGCCTTGACTGCTAGGGGTGAGGGCATTGATCAGAAGACGGCACTACAGGTTTACCAATCAACTGTACTCTCTTGCGTGATGTGTGCTTTGCCAGTCTTGAATGTGCCGCCTGCTTTGATGTTGCAGCTGGAACGGCATCATCGTGTTGCCCTCCAAGTACTGTTTGGCATACCTCGTGAAGCACAATCCATCCCACTACTGACTGAAGCACACCAGTGGCCGCTAAAGCTGCAAGCTGACCAGAGAGCGCTACATCATATTGAGCGTCTGAACCGAGTCCCGCATGGCAAGACACTCCTTAACAGGCTGTTACAGCGCCCACTTTCTCGAATGGGTAAAATGGCGGCTTTGTTCAATGACATTACTGGCAATTCCAGCGAAGCTATTCAGTTGCCAACATCGACAGAGCACAGGCTGCGACTGTCCGGGAATTCTATGCACGATGGACAACACTCGTCTGCTTATACGCCGACACCTCATAAACAGCACCCAGACTAGCGTGTGGCGAATGGATCGTTCCCTCCCCGTGTTCGTGGCCGTGGCTTGCCTCGTAGTTCCCGAGCGCTGTTGTACAAACTAAGAGTGGGCTCTGTGCTGGTGCGTGAACGATTACACCGTCAAGGGCGTGTGGACAGCCCGTTGTGCGCAGCTTGTGGTTCCTGCGAAACACTTGAGCATCTCGTAGTGCACTGTCCCACATTTGCTATACAGCGGTCTTTGCTGATTAAGGAATATAAATTCCTAGGACTCAAGTGCGCGACTCTAGACTACCTCTTTCCGAGTGTTAGTACTTCCCAGCGCGACCAGGCCCACCAAGCTCTCCTTACATTAATGAGCCAAACGGACCTGGCCACCCGTTTAGAGACGATCTTTTTGTTCTTCTTTTATTATTATTTATTTATTTTTTTCATACTTGTCGAAGTCTTCGTCAATTTTTTTTTCTCTCTTCCTCATCTTCTTTCCTCTTTCTCCCCTCTAATCCTTGTTTCCTCTATTTCTCCCCTCCTCTCAAAAGAGTGAGCAGGCGTTGTGCCGCTCCAGGTGGCAGTTGCCAGCTTGCTCTTTCCCCCTTTTTTCGGTGTCCTTGTGTATCTGTGTATGCAAATCAAATAATAATAATAATAATAATAATAATAATAATAATAATAATAATAATAATAATAATAATAATAATAATAATAATAATAATAATAATAATCTTCTGTACACCTACTCTAGATCTCCCAATTAAGTGCTGTCATTAATTTCGCATTCACAACAAATACTTTTATAGGCCACCGAGCAGCGGAGCAGAATGCTGTCATGTTTCACGTCTTTTTATTTTCGTGCTCAAATTACAAGGAGAAAAGGAAATTAAATGACTGCAGTCTAAAGCATATTACAAATCTGACGGCCTACGCAGTGTGCTCAGCATCCGTACAGCTCCGTATCGTGCGGAATAGTCGTGGTCATCACCATAAAGAAGGATATATGATTGTCCCCGGTTTCGCAAGTACTAACGCAGTTGTAGTGAAAATTCTGTGATGGCTTGCAACATTGCAGACATACAACCGCACTGCGCAAACAAAAGCACGAAAGTGTAGTGTGACAAAGCTGCAAGCAAGGTTTCAATGAGTGCGATTGCAGTCTGTGGTGAGTAACCTTGCGAAGGTAAATGGAACAGCTGCGGCTCGTGTTATGAAGGGTCGTCAGCTCATTATTGGCGTGGCAATTGCTGTGGGTTGTTGAGCATGTTCTCTTTCTTTCTGTCACTCACTTTACTGTATATGCATTCACTTGAAATAGTCCAGAGTCTCCAGACTAAATACGTTTATGCACTGAGCGACTGCAAGTTTTGAAACTGTTCGGAAAATAACAAAAAAGAATGGCGACTGTTGCTCAGCTCTAGCTGATGATGGTGACGTTTTAATTTTTTTTATTTTTATCAACAGTGACAATAACGGGTATATATGAAATAAATAAGCGATGTAATAAGCTAACAGATGGGTCCCATTCAGTTACCATAGGCAGGAACAATCGTGGTTGAACCATTATTTTTAGGAATGTAAACGGAAGCAGAAAGCCTGCTTCGACACGTTAAATTTATAATTAATAAAATTCCTGCCACCTCACAGGCT